AAACCTAAGGCCAGGCCAAATAAATGGACAAATTTAAAAGTGCTAGACATGACAGGTGAAACGTAGAGGTTTTTGGAAGTAGGTGCAATGTGCAGACAATCCTAAATCTCTAACAAAGTGCATTTCGGACATGATGCTAGGGGTTTCCTATTCTGGAAAGGCACACTGGAACAGCTAGGTCTTCAGGCTCTTCCTAAAGACTGCCAACGTTGGGGCTTGTCTGATGTCCTTGGGGAGAGAGTTCCAGAGTCGGGGGGGCACTACAGAGAAGGCCCTGTCCCTCGTCCCCACCAAATGCGCTTGCGACGCAGGTGGGATCGTGAGCAGGGCCTCTCCAGATGATCGAAGGGATCGTGTGGGTTCATATATGGAGATGCGGTCACGCAGGTAGGCGGGTCCCAAACCGTTTAGGGCTTTGTAGGTGAGCACCTGCACCTTGAATTGGGACCGGAAGATGAACGGCAGCCAATGGAGCTCCTTAAACAGGAGGGTTGCTGGAATAGGTGTCCCATACCCTTTCTTCCTATGTTTCCCGTCCCAGTTCTGCTTGGGAGCAGCTACGTGTCCAGAGGGAGGTCCCCTGTGGCCTTGCTCTGGGGGCCACACTCTCTAATCCCCATTGCCAGACTCATAGTTTTCAAGGGGCTCCAGCCTCCTTCCCTTTCCCACAAGCCATGAGGCCCAAGAGAGGCAGGGAGTTGGGGCCAGGCTCCCTCAGGCCTGGTCTATTCCTCTTCCTCCCTGGCACTGGACCCACTGGCTCTAATATACTTGTGTCCCTAACTGGTTCCCTTCCTTTTTACTTCCTCCCTCCATTAAAAGCAGGGCCAGGACTCACTGGTGGCCACAGTCCCCCATCCATTCTATTGATCAGCTATCATGGCCACCAACTACCACTTCTTCTGAGGAATCTCTGCAGTGGTATTATAGGAGGAGGGCTGGCCAATCCGTGTGCTCCACCACACAGTGGGCCCTGATTGGCTGGTGGGTGGGTGCTCCTCCATGTGCACATCCCTCAGGTCCCTCCCCCCTCTGTCCAGGCCAAGAGGCTGAGCAACCATCTCTAAGCCTGGCCTGTCAAACCCAATTTCATGAAGGACATTTTAAAATCAGCCCTTGTATCTAGAATCAAACTCAACAGGACATGTGTGAATGTTGCAATTGGCCCCCTTGATTAGCCTTGATTAGCCTTGCAGCTTCAAAGCCTGGATGCTTCCTGCCTGGGGGAATCCAGAGAGAAATGTAAATAAATAAATGAGTCACACTCTCTCAACTTCCTGCAATCACGGAAGGAAGTGATTGCCTAGTTTCCAGCTGATCTCACAACCTCTGAGGATGCCTGCCATAGATGTGGGCGAAACGTCAGGAGAGAATGCTTCTGGAACATGGCCATACAGCCCGGAAAACTCACAGCAAACCAGTGATTCCCGCCATGAAAGACTTCGACAACACATATCCTGATTCACTTTTAACACTGGAGATGGAATTTGGCCTTGCATTTGTGTTATTGTCCCGAATATAAAGGGACAACAATTGTATTTAAAAGGGAAACCAAGAGTTTGTATAACCCAAGACCCAGTATCCTTAAATGTTTCTCATTGCAATGTCCCTGCCCTTAGGGAAACTACAATGCCCAGGACCTACACACACACATATAATACTGCAATGCCTTTGTTCTTCAAGAAATGATAACTCCTAATACATAATAGCATTTTAAAAAATTGTACTGCACGATCTTTGTACTTAGAGAAACTATAACTCCCAAGACCTAATAGCATTAAAATTGTGTATTGTAAGGTCTCTGCACTTAGGGAAGCTATAACTCCCGATGACAGATGGATAACTGAGGTATATCACTGAGACATAATAGTATTAAAAAATTTTTGGTATTGCAAGTTCTCCACACTTAGTGGAAGCTGCAACTCCCAGGACCCGATCAACATTTAATTCCTATTGCTCAAAGTCTCTGTTCTTTAAGAAACTATAACCCCCAAGACTCCATATCATATTGGAATGCCTGCGTCCTTTACGAAAACTATAACGCCCAGGACCCAATATTCTGAAATGTTTCTAGTTACAATGCCCCTGCCCTTTGGAAAACTACAATTCCAAGGACCTTCATTCATATTCTCATATATATAATACCACAATGCCTTTGTCCTTTAAGAAACTAAAACTTCCACAACCTAATGGCATTAAAATTGTGTCGTAAGATCTTTGCGCTTAGGGAAACTATAACTCCCAAGCCCTAATAGCATGAAAAATGTATTGCAAGTTCTCCATAGAAACTACAACTCCTAGGACCCAATTAACATTCAATCCCTATTGCAACGTCTCTGTCAGTTAAGAAACCATGACTCCCAAAATTCTGTATCATATTAAAATGTCTTCATCCTTTATGTACCTCAGCATTTATTAACTTCCAGGACCTCATAGCAGTGAATTCTTATTGCAAGGCTCCCCACCCTTAGGAAAACTACAACTCCCAACATTCCCCCCAAAATGGCGTTGTGTGCCATTTGTCTCTCACTGCCCTTGGGAAAACTACAACTCCCAGGGCCTCTATTATTATTATTATTATTATTATTATTATTATTATTATTTTGCTTGCATATCTTCTATTCTTAGGAAAACTGTGACTTCCAGGGCTCATTAATATTGGATTCTTTTTGCAAGCACTCACCCATCAGAAAACTACAACTCCCAAAAGTCCAAAAAATTGTGTTAGATGGCATTCATATCCCAGCCCTTGGGGAAACTACAACTCCCAGGACATTATAGCATTAAAACATTCTTTGTAAACTATAATCCCAAGACATAATTAATATTGTATTCTTATTGAAAGGCCTGTGCTCTTATGGAGACTATAGCTCCCAGGACTAAAAAAAAGGGGGGGAGGGCTTCAAATTGTACAATATTTCTAATTTATTTGTGTGCTTTGGGGCTGTTCTATTCTGTTTATTCCTCAATTCCAAAGACCAAACATCAGTTTCTATTGCAACGCCTCTATCTTTGTGGAAACTACAAGTCCCAGGACCTTATAGCATTAAATTGTTGTATTGCAATGTCTCAGTCCTTAGGAACATTGTAACTTCCAAGCCCGAATGGCATTGTATTCTTATTGCGATTCCCCTGTCCTTGGGGAAATTAGAACTCCCAGGACCCTATGACATTAAACTATAACTCCCAAGACTCCAAAAATTGTGTTGGGGGGATTTGTGTCCCTGCCCTTAGAAAAGTACAACTCCCAAGACCCAATAGATTTAAATGCTCACTCGCAAAGTCTCCGTTCTAGGAAAATAATAGTTTACAGGATATCCTTAAATCTCTTTTTCGGAAAACCTCTGTACTTAGGAAACTAAGACTCCCAGGACTATAAATTTCTATTGGCCACACTTCCACCCTTAAGGAAAGTATAACTCCCAAGACTCCCAAAAAGGGTATTGAATGACCTTTGTATCTCAGTCCTTAGGAAACAATAACTTCATAGAGCCAATACAATTATGAAATATTTTGCCCATATTAAACTACCCAATACTTCTGGAGCATTTTGAATATTCGCATATGCTACTGAGATGCATGCGCTAATGAGATGTTTTGTACACATTCAGCAAGGTAACAAAGCCTCCAACGTTTGGATTTTGGGAATATTTGCATACGCTAATGAGATGTTTTCCATACAGTGAACAACCCAGAAAGAACATTGACACTTTTGGTACGTCTGGATATTTGCATAGTCTAATGAGCTATTTTGCATATATCTAACTGTCTGAAAGGTGGAAAATTGGAATATTTGCATATGTTAATGTGATAGTTTGCATATGCTTAATCATTTAGAACACTTTGAATATGTGCATATGCTAATGAGATATTTTACATACACCAAACCACTCAGAATATTTGCATATTTATACTTAGATAGTTTGCATATATTAAACCACCAGAGTGGAGTTTGGCATATATAAGGCCCTTCTACACTGGCCCTATGTCCCAAGGTCCGATCCCCGTATTATCTGCTTATTCCAGATTATGTGGCAGTGGAGACTCATAATCCAGTTCAAAACTGATAACCTGGGATCAGATCTTGGGATCTAGAACAGTGTAGAAAGTGTCATAATGAGATATTTTGCATTCACTGAAACCATACAGAAGGTCACACTCTCCCACAATTTTGGGGTTTTAAAATATATATTTGCATACACTAATAAAATATTTTGCATACCATCCCAAGTACTTTTCGAATATCTGCATATGCTGATGAGATCTCTTGTATATTGCACCAACTGAAAGACCATTTTCATACACCCACCCACCATTTTGAATATTTTGAATATTTGCATATCCATAATGAGATACAGCCAATGTAATGACATATTTTGTATACACCAAACTATCCTGGAAGCAAAGGTGGCACTTTCAGCCACACTTTTAGTATATTTGAATATTTGCATATGTGAAGGAGATGTTTTGCATGCATCCTGAAAACCAAGGTGCCCATATTTTGATTATTTGAATATGATAACAAAATAGTTTAAATTGAACCATTCAGAAGACAATATAAAAGCAACATTTGGGATATTCTGAAGTATTTACATAAACTAGTGGGATGTTTTGAATTGAATAATCCAACACATTTTGAATAATTTCTATATCCTAATAAGCTATTTTGCATAAACCGAAACCCTTTTCTGAGTATTTGCATATGTAACCAAAATGTATTGCCATCCAGAATCCGACACAATGACAAAATCTGGAATGTTTGCATATGGTGATTAGTTAATGTGCACACATTGAATATATATTATTTTCCATATGTTAATGAGATATTTTGTATACAATAAAACCATATTTTTTGAATATTTGCATATGAATGAAATGTTTTGTATACACTGAAACCATATTTTGATTATTTGCATATATGAATGACATGTTTTGTACACATTGAAACCATATTTTGTATATGTTCATGATATTTTGTATAGAGATATTTTGCATGCATTGAACTATTTTGGAATATCTGCATACGTTAATGAGCTATTTTGCATATATTGACAAATCTTGCTTATCATTTTCATATGCCCCTGCGGGGTCCCAGTGCTTGTCCCGGACACGGCGGAGGGACTGGACCTGGGGCTGGAAGGCTGACCAGTCATTCCAGTGGCCAAAGTCCCCCATTTCGAAGAGATACTGGTAGCCCCTGTATCCTGGATACTGGTAGCCCACCCAACTGCATGGAAGAGAAAGGAAAGATGATGGTGACTCTTTAGAGGTCAACTTGCCTTCTCTAAGTCCTATCATCATCAACAGGCAGGAAAGAGGCCTCACTGGTGGTCACCCAAGTTTATATAAAGCTAACTGTCCGTCATCTTGATAGATCTTCTATGAGGACCTTCTTCTGCTCTAAGTCTCCTCATCCCCAAACAGAAATGAATGGAGCCTTTTTGGTGGCCACTCAAGTCTACATTAAGCTGTCTGAAGTACCCATAATGGTTACCGGAAGGACCTCCATCAACTAGAGGTCTCCTGGAGATCTCCTTCTTCTCAAAGGCCATAACCCCTATGGCAGTGGTTTTCAACCTGTGGGTCCCCAAATATTTTGGCCTTGAACTCCCAGAAATCCTAGCATCTGGTAAACAACTGGGGACCCACAGGTTGAGAACTACTGTCTTATGGAAAAGGCTTATGCTTAGGTGAAGGTTACAAAGGCATTTGACTTCACCTTCCTCCATCTTGAGATCTTCTGGAAGATTCTTCTATCTAGATGGATGTGTATCTATCCACCCATACATGTATCCAACTATAAATATATCTATCCATCCTATGTATTTATCTACCAATCCATCCACTTATCTTTTCATCTATCAATCCATCTACGTGTGCATGTATATATCAATCCGCTATCCATCCATCCATCCATTCACCGATCTATTCATCTATCTATCTATCTATCTATCTATCTATCTATCTATCTATGTGTTCATCCACCTATCCATCCATACATCCATCTATCTATCAGTTTATCTATCCATCCATTAGTCTATCCATCTATCCTTCAATTGATCAGTATATCAATTTATTTATTTATTTATTTATACGTCTTTATAGATAGCTGGAGGGATGGAAAGATTATAGACAGAGAGACAAACAGATAGATGAAGGGGGGGGGGGAATACAGAGATAGCTAGATAGATAGACTGACAGACATACAGATAGATGAGCACGCCTATCTATCTGCCTATCAGTCCATCCAACTATCCTTTTGTCCATCCATCCATCCTCCTTTATCTTTTACATACCCATCTTTTTATACATCCCTCTAGCTATCCATCCAGCCGTTGACCCCTCCATAGAAGGACTTCTGCAGAAGATCTCAAGATGGTCCTCCTTCATTGTTCAAGAGCAGCCCCTCCTCCTCCCACTCTAAGACCCATCCTCTCTGAAGACAGACCTGCCGCCAGAGACTCGGAGGCTGCCCACTCGACCACAGAAGCCCCAGGTCCAGAGGCTGGGGACGTCCTCCGCCTTAACCTCCACCTGGTGGCCCTTGAACTTGGACTCTTCAAAGAGGAGGATCTTCTGTTCCTGGGATTCCTTCTGGTGGAGAAAGAGAGACAGAGGGACCCTCAGTGGTGGCATATCTATCTATCCATCCGTGTATCTATCAATTCATCTATCCATCCATTCATTAATCTATCCACTTATCTATATGTCCATCCATCCTTCTATCAATAAATCAGACTATCTATTCATTCATTCATCCATCCATCTACCTATACATTCATCTATCCATTTATCTACCCATAATGTATTCATATGTTTTTGTATCTAGATAGATAGATGGATGTATGACAGATGGATAGATAGGTGATCCATTAATCCAGCTATCTGTCCATCTACCCATCTATCCTTTTATCTAACTATGTATATATCAATTCATCCTTTAACTTTTCATCCATCCATCCATCCATCCATTCATCTACCCATCCATCCATCCATCCATCCATCCATCCTCTATTTTCATTCATCTAACCATCTATCAATCCATCCATCCATCCATCAATCTATCTATCCACCCATCATTCAATACATCCATCCATCCATCTCAGTCTAGCCCAGTGGTTCTCAATCTGTGGGTCCCCAGATGCTTTGGCCTTCAATTTCCAAAAATCCTAACAGATGGTAAACTGGCTGGGATTTCTGCGAGTTGTAGGCCAAAACACCAGGGGACCCACAGGTTGAGAACCAATGGTCTAGCCAATTACAGTCTGCCAATCTGGAGGCCTTCAAGCAGAGATTGCTTTGAGTGAGCTATGTCTAGATGGCCCCTGGGCTGTCCCATTGGCTTACCATCCTGACAGGGCGCATGGATCTGAGGCGGTCACTTCGGTGGCTGCTGGACCAGGTGTCCCACCGCGGGAACTGTCCCACCTCTAGGACGAACATCTCCCCACGGAACCTGGCCTGCTCAAAGGCCACCCAGCTGCAGGAAGAGAAACATGAAGTGGAAGAGGAAGAAAAGGAACAGGAAGGGGAAGGGGAAGAGGAGGAAGAAGAAGAAGAAGCAGAAAAGGAAGTGGAAAGTAAGAAGAGGTAGCAGAACAGGAAGAGTAAGCAGAAGAATAAGTGGAAGAGGAAATGGGGCCAGAGAGAGAAGGATGCATCAGAGAGACTGGATGGAGAGATGGACATCCAAGAGATACCCATATTTCTTACATCCCATCCCTCCCTAGATCCATGGATGTCCTTCCTTCCTTTCTCTATTCATCCTTCATTCCTTTCTACCATTTCTTCTTTCCTTCTTCTCTTTACTTTTCTTCCTCACCCCCTTCACTCCTTCCATTCTTTCCTTTCCTTCAAACATTTCTGCCTTCCTTTATCTTTCCATTCATCTCTCTTTCTCTCCCTCTCTTTCCCATCATTTCTGCTCCTTCCTCTCTCTTTCCGTTTCCCATCTTTATAATCCTCCCTCCTTCCCTTTCCTTTCCATCCCCTTCTTTCATTCCTTTCTACAATTTCCTCCTCCCCCCCCCCCCCCCCAATTTCCCATCCTTTCCTTTTCATTCCTTGCGGCCTTTTTCCCTCTCCTTTCCTTCTCTTCAACCTTTCCCTCCCTCCATCTCTCTCCATCCTTCCTCTTTCCCTCTGTCTGATTCCCATCCTCTCCTTCCTTCCTTCTCCTTATTCCGTTTGCTTCTTTCCTTTCCTTCCCTTCCACACTTTATTCTTTCCTCTTTCTTTCCATCTTTTACTTCTTCTTTTTCTTATTCCTCTCATCCATCCATCCATCTTTTTCCTTATCCTTCCTCCTTTCCTGATCATTCCTTCCTCTCCTTCCTTCCCTTCCTCTTTTTCTTTCTTTTTCATTCTTATTCTATCTTCCTTTCCTTCTCTTCTTCATTCTCTTTATCTCTATCTTTTCTTCCATTTTGTCCTAGCCTTCATTTCTTCCTCCTACATTCCTTCGCCTATTCACTCCTTTCTTGTTTCTTCTTCCCTCTCTTTTTCTTACATCCATCCTTTTCTTTCCCTTCTTCCTCCATCCCTCCTTTTGGTTTCCTTTCTGTTCTTTCTTTCTTTTCTTCCTTCTTCTTTTTCTCCTTCTTTTCCTTCATTCTCTCCACCCTGCCTTTCCTTCATTCTTATCTTTTTCTCTCCTTCCTTCCTTCTTCCTTCCTATCTTCTTCTCTCATTCCTTCTTCTCTTTCTTTTCCTCCTTTCCTCCATGCTCTCCTTGCCTTCCTTCTTTTTGTTTCCTTTCTATCCCTTCTTCCCTTTCCTCTCCTTTCTTCCTTCTTTCCTTTATTTTCCTTCCTACCCTCCTTCCTTCTTTCATTTTATTTCCCATCCTTTCCTCTCCTTACTTCCCCCTTTATTTTTCTCCTCCCTTCTTTTCCTTCTGTTCAACCCTTTTCTCTCTCCATAACTGTCCACTCTACCTTTCTTTCTACACTTCCTTCTTCCCCGCTTCCCTTTCCTTTTAGCCTTTCTTCCTCTTCTTTTCTTCTACCTTTTACTCCCTCTATCTATCTATCCTCTATTTCCCATCCTCTCCTTCCTTCCTGTCTTTTTTCTTCCTCCCTCCATTTCTCATCCATTTACTTACTTACTTACTTACTTACTTACTTACTTACTTACTTCATTTCTATCCCGTCTTTCTCACACAAAGGGACTCAAGGTGGTTTACAATTCTGGGAAAAATTCTATGCCGATAAAAACCAGTACAAACAATAAAAAATAAACAGTTTAAAATCCTTCCTTTCCTTCTTTTATCTCCTTCCTTCCATCCCATCCTTTCCCTCCCTCTCGCCATCCCTCTATTTTCTATCTTTCCCTTCCTTCTTCTCCTTCCTTCCTTCCTTCTTTTTTTCCTTCTTCTCTTTCTTTCCTTCCTTTCCTTCCCTCCTTCCACTCACGGCCCAGAGATCACGATAGCGCTCTGCACACGCTCAAAGCCATGTTCCCAGAGGTCCAGACATTCTCCATTGAATTCCTTCCTCTGCCCTTGGAAGTTCTCCTGATCAAAGACGGTAATCTGGAACACAAAAAAGCATAGGATCCTTATTGTTCAGACTTGAAACCGGAGTGGACACCACACCTTGACCCTCACTTTCTGTTTACCCGAAAGTCATCCTGAGGAGTTTCCTCTTCGCCGACTCCATTGGACTCCAATGACGAGTTTGAGGACATAGCTTCCTCCGGTTCAGCCCTAATAATCATAATTAGGAGAAATAGGGATCTAATTAAGTATAATCCAAACTATTGATCTAAGCCAATGAGCCAATGCTGTGATGCTGTGGCGAAAAAAACCAATACAATCCTAGATCATATTCATTCTCCTTCTCTTCTTTCTTTCCTCCTTTCTTCTTCTTTTCCTTTCCCTTCCCTTCTTCCTTCCCACCGTCTCCCATTTCTCCTCCTTCTTTTCCTTATCCACCTCTTCTCCTTTTCTTCCCTTTGTCTCCTTCTTATCATCCTCTCCTTCCTCCTCCTCTCTTCTCTTCATCTTCCTTCCCTCCTCCTTCCTTCTAATCTTCCTCTTCCTTCAAACCTTTCCTTTCTTTCTCACGCCTTCCCTCCTTCTTACCTTCCTCTTCTTCTCCATCTTTCTTATTCCTTCCCCAATCTATCTCTCCTTTTCCTTCCCTTCTTCCTTCCATCTTTTTCCCATTTCTTCTCATTTTCCTCTCTCAAACATTTCTTCCTCCATCTTCTTCCCATCATCCTCCAATACCTCTTCCTCCATCTATGTTTTAATTCCTTCCCTCCCTTCTCTATCTCTTTCTTCCTTTCCCCTTCTTCCCGTCCTCCTCTCTTCTCCATCTCCTCTTCTCTTCTTCCATTCTTCCCTCCATTGTCTATCTCTCCTTTTCCTTCCCTTCTTCCACCCCCCTTCTCACATTTCTTTTCTTCCATCTCTTCTTTTTCTCCTTTTCCGTTCCTTCCCTTCTCTCCTTTCCGTCATCCTCCCCTTCCTTCTCCTTCATCTATATTCTTCCTTCCCTCTCTCTTCCTTCTTACCTTCCTCTTCTTCTTTTCTTCTTCCTCCTCCTTCCTCCTTTTATACTTAAAAACCTCACAAAAAAACCTCACAGTCATCATTCTCTTCCAAATGCCTTCAGTCAACTGGAAATAAAATAGCACACACATCCACACATCCATCCATTTCTGACCCAGAGGGGCCTGCTGAGCTTTGCATTTCCTATTGATCCTTCCCAAATCTCTCCTATTGTTCTCAGTGGAGCTGAATCAGGGGTCCCAGCAGCCTATAATCTGCTATAAAAACCCATTGAGGGGGAAGAGGGGAGAGAGAGGAGAGGAGGAGGAAAGCAGCTTTTGGGGGGTAAGTTCTGTTTAACCAAGAGTTCAATTTAACTAAGAGTGTACTCTATAAGACTTTTGGGGTATTTTCTTTGACCCCCCCCTCCCACATTTAAACTGATTAACCAAGAGTTCCAGTTAACTGAGAGTCTATTTTGTATTTCATTTTCGGTTAACTGAGAGTTCTGGTTAACTGGAGATTACTATTCTAGATTTAATTTCCACTTAACTGAGAGTCCACTCTATATTACATTTTCAGTTAACAGGGAGTCTACTCTATAGTTTACTTCTGTTTAACTAAGAGTTCTGATTACTATAACCGAGGGTACTATATATTACATTTCTGGTTAATTGAGAGTAATTTCCTCTATATTCCTTTTTATTTATTTGTTCACTTTTTTGCACGGATATATAGCTCTGTTCCTCCTTTCGCACAACTACGGTGCAACCATGGCCCAACACAGCGGGAAGTACGCCGGTCTCTGGAAGGTAGACCTGAGTCCTATTCTATTCTATGGGATCTTTTTTTAGGGAGAGTAAGAAGGATCCTGGGGGAGGACTACAAATCATAAGCAAATTTATGCCTATTTCAGATGGTGGTCTGGGAGGAACCCTCCTTCGAAGGGCGGAAGCATGAGTTCACCTCTGAATGCTATGATGTCGCCGACTGTGGGTTCCTCAATGTGGGCTCAGCTCGAGTGGAGAGTGGGACGTGAGTGGAGGACTATGTATCCCATGGGGTTTGGTGTTGGTTGTGAACTATGTATCCCATAGCCCCTCCCCCCAGTCCTAATTGCTCCCATTATTTATTATTTATTTATTTATTTACAACATTTCTGCCCCGCCCTTCTCAACCCTCGGGGGGGGGGGGGACGGGACTCAGGGCGGCTTCCTTAGAAGTTTATGTGTCCTATCGATCCATATCTATCTATCTATCTATCTATCTATCTATCTATCTATCTATCCACCCATCCAATCTATATATTCACCCATCTACTGTACAACTATCTATTTTTCCATCCACTCATGTACTCTTCCTTCTCTACTCTATTTATCAATTCATTCATCCACCTATATCAATCTATTTTTCTATCTATCCATTGACTGTATATCTATCCATCAATTAATCCATCCTATCCATCTATCTTTCAATCTATCCATCTCTATCTGTCTATCTATTTATCCATCCATCTATCTACTCATCCACCCATCTATCGTATCTACCTACTTAACCCACCAATCTGTCTATCTATTTTTGATTATGGCCTCCCAATGTTTTGGTAGATATAACTAGGCCTCTATAAAATCCATCTACTATAGCTTTCTTATCTCTATGTATCTCTCCATCTATCTAGATCCAATGTATCTATCTACCATACCTTTCATATATAACATATCTCCTCTATCTATCTATCTATCTATCTATCTATCTATCTATCTATTCATCTGCTATATATCTATCTGTCTGTCTGTCTGCCCGTCTGTCCATCCATCCATCCATCCATCCATCTTATCTATTTTTAGGGGGGAGGAGGTAATGGATTTACAAATATATGATTTTAACCATGTTTTAACTTTGTGTTGTATGGTTTTATTCTGTTGTAAGCCACCTTGAGTCTGCTTGAGGAGAAAGGCGGGGTAAAAATGTCTTAAATAAATAAATAAATACCTAAATGTCTTTCTATCACTCTCTCCCTTTCCATCTACCGATCTACCATATCTATCTACCATATCTATCTACTGCCTCTTTCTATCTATCTATTGTATCTATCTATCTACTTATCTATCTATCTATCTATCTATCTATCTATCTATCTATCCATCCACACTTTCTTTCTCTCAATCCACTCTATATGTATCTATCTATCCATCATATGGATCTATTCATCAATTTATCCATCTGTCCACAATATCTCTCTATCTAGCTATCCATCCAATCATAATTTCTTCCATATACATCCATCCATCTATTACTTTATATTTATTTATCTATCCAACAACTGAGCTGAGCAAAGGAAGATAGATGCTTTTGACCTGTGGTGTTGGAGGAATGTTCTGAGAGGCCTTGGACTGTGAGAAGATCCAACCAGTCCATACTTCAGGAAAAAAGCCCGATTGCTCATTGGAGGGAAGGATAGTATGAAGTACTTTGGCCACATCATGAGAAGACAGGAAAGCTTAGAGAAGACAATGATGCTGGGGAAAATGGAAGGAAAAAGGAAGAGGGGCCGACCAAGGGCAAGATGGATGGATGGTATCCTTGAAGTGACTGGATTGACCTTGAAGGAGCTGGAGGAGGTGACATCCGACAGGGAGCTCTGGCATGGGCTGGTCCATGAGGTCATGAAGAGTCGGAAACGACCGAATGAATGAACAACAACAAATCCAACCTCTATCTATCTATCTATCTATCTATCTATCTATCTATCTATCTATCTATCTATCTATCTATCATCTATCTATCCATCTATATCTATCAATTTATCTATATCTATCTATCCATCTATCTTATCTACCTACCTACCTACCTACCTATCTATAACTCTTTCTCTCCATCTATCCATCCAGTCCACTTGCACACTTACTTATCAATATCTCTTTCTTTCTTCCGCCCCCCTTCCTCATTCCCTTCTTCCTATCCTGCAGGTGGGTGGGCTATGACCACACAGGCCTGCAGGGTCAGCAGTTCGTGATGGAACCAGGGGACTACCCCTCCTGGGAGGCCTGGAGCGGGAGCCACGCCTACAGGGCCCCTCGATTGGCCTCTTTCCGACCCCTCCCTTCCGCAGTGAGTAGCCACGCCCACTAACATGCCTCCCTCTGTCCATCCATCTGTCCATCTATCTATATCCAGGTAATCTGGACTTTCAGCCTATTGGTAGATGCAACTAGACCATCACAAGATACATCTCTATATCTCTCTATCAACATCTCTCCCTCTGTCCATCCATCCATCTACTCTATATCTAGTTTATCTATCTATCCACCATATTTATCTACCATGTCTCTTTATTCACCCACCATATTGATCTATCCATCTATTCATCCATCTATCCACAATTTCTACCCATCCATCCCTCTATCCATTCATCAATCCACTCAATCTATCTACTTATCTATCAACCCCCCTCTCTATCTATCCACTTTCTATCTATCTATCATATAGAACTATCCATCTATTCATCCATTTATCCACAATATCTACCCATCCCTGTATCCATCCATACAGCTCTTTCCACTCATCCATCCATCCATCTACTCTCTTTCTCTATCCACCCATCCATCTACCATAACTATCTATCCACCCAACCACCCACCATATTGATCTATCCATCTATTCATTCATCTATCCACGATCTACCCATCCACCCCTCTACCCATCCATCCATATCTACCTATCCATCCACCATTTCTACTTGTCTGTCTGTCTATACATCTCTACATCCATCTATTCACTATATCTATCTACTACATCTATCTATTTTTCCACTCTATATGCACCTATCTATCCATTCTCTATCTAGCTATCTATCCATCCATCCATCCACCCACCATATTGATCTATACATCTATTTTTCCATCTATCCACAATATCTATCCTACTTATTGATTAAGCTACTTATCTACCAATGACTTATCCATATCTACTGATTGAGTGACCTAACTCTTTATGGAATGGTCCTTTCGATGGCGACCATTGACCCTTTGACCTCTTCCTTCTTCTTCAGAACCTTCGTGAGAGCAAGGTGACTCTCTTTGAGAAGGAGAACTTCCTTGGCAGGAAAGGAGAGCTGAGCCAGGACTGCCCCTCCCTCCAGGCCCTGGGCTGGAACAGCAATGCCATTGGATCCGTAGCTGTCCAATCAGGAGCGTGAGTCATGCATAGTCAAGCCCCCAGGAAAACCACACAGACCTCCATATTGCTATTACTTAAATAGTTATATTATTATTACTATTATATTCTATTGCGGTACTATCATTCATATATATATATATATATATATATATATATATATATATATATATAATCATTATTATACTCTCCCATATTATATATTATTTGCATTATTATAATTACTATTATGATTAGCCATTGTGCTGGATGACCAAGCTATGTGTATGGATAATAATTATAATATAATATATTATTATATGTTATATTGTTATATATTATTATTTTCATATATATATATATATATACACACACACACACACACACACACACACACACACATACATACATACACACACATACATACATACATACATATATATAACATTATAATTATTATCCAAACACATATTTTGGTCCTCCAATGCAGTGGTTGATAATAATAATAATAATACGGAAAAGAGTATAATAAAATAATAATATATAATATAAGACATAAGATTATAATATGTAATTAATGTGTATAATGATGATAACAATAATAATAATAATAATAATAATAATAATAATAATAATAATAGCTGTGCCAGGACTGCCCCTCCCTCCAGGCCCTAGAATGGAGGAGTTGCGCCATTGGCTTCTTGGCTTCCTAACCCAGAGCATGAGTCATGCCCTCATTTACATAACCACGCCCCTGGGATACCCCACATAAACCTCTGCATTGCTACTTTTATTATTATTGAATCTTATTCTATCCCTGATTATTACCCACTATATCATATTCATCATCTTGTTATTATACTCTCCCATATAACAATATTAGTTATATTATTATTGAGTCTTATTCTTTCTCCGAGCATTAATCACCATATTATTATTATTATTATTATTATTATTATTATTATTATTATTATCATACACCCATATAATGCAATATATAATAATACAAGTATTAGATATTATAGAACTATACTAAAGTGATAATAATATATGACAATTTAATGTAATATGCTAATATTATTATACACTCCAATATTATTAGTATTAGTATTTTGTTATATTATTACATCACATCATATTATACTATACTATAATATGTTACATTATTAATGAGTATAATTCTTTTTTTGGTTATTATCCACCTTATTATTATTATTATTATTATTATTATTATTATTGAATCTTATTCAATCCCTGGTTATTCCCCACCATATTATTACTATTACTGTCTTCCATATTATATAATATATAATAATATATATATTATAATAATAAAACAATGATAATGAAATATATTGTATTCTCCCATATATCATATTGTGTTAACATAATAATATTATAATAATATGTAGTACACGGCATAGTAGAATAATAATAGTAACAGAAGAGAATAATACAATAGTAATAGGATAGTGATATAATATATTTAAAATATTAAATAATAATAATATAATTATATAATATATATAATACAATATAATAGAGTAATATAATAGTAATCTATATAAATAAAAAGGTAATGTTCGTTTGTGGGATTAACTCAAAAACCACTGGACGAATTGACCCCAAATTTGGACACAAGACACCTAACAATCCAATGTGTGTCCTTCACTCAAAAAAAATGATTTTGTCATTTGGGAGTTGTAGTTGCTGGGATTTATAGTTCACCTACAATCAAAGAGCATTCTGAACCCCAACAACGATGGAATTGAACCAAACTTGGCACACAGTTCTCCCATGACCAACAGAAAATACTGAAAGGGTTTGGTGGGCAGTGTCCTTTGGTTTTGGAGTTGTAGTTCACCTACATCCAAAGATGACTGTGGACTCAAACAATTATGGATCTGGACCAAACTCTACAAGAATACTCAATCTGCCCAAATGTGAACACTGGTGGAGTTTGGGGGAAATAGAATCTTGACATTTGGGAGTTGTAGTTGCTGGGATTTATAGTTCACCTGCAATCACAGAGCATTCTGAACCCCACCAACGATAGAAGTGGGCCAAACCTCCCACACAGAACCCCGATGTGGGCCACAGCAACGTGTGGCAGGGGATGGCTAGTATAATATAAAATAACAATAAATATATAACAATAATAAAAACAGAATTGGCCATAGACTTGAAGGCCCTGAACATTCATTGCATTGTGTATCTGTGTATATCTATATTATCTATATATAGTGGTGTGGTGGAAGCTCCTTCTTTGGAAGCTTTTAAACAGAGGCTGGATGGCCATCTGCCTGCGGTGCTTTGAATGCAATATTCCTGTTTCTTGGCAGGGGGTTGGACTGGATGGCCCATGAGGTCTCTTCTAACTCTATGATTCTATATATATGTAACATGTTACTATCATTATAAAAATATCGTTTCATATATGTGTGTGTGTGTATAATGTTTTAAATGCTTTTCCCCTCTCCCAGGTGGGTTTGCTCCCAGTTCCCTGGATACAAGGGGTCCCAGTTTGTGCTGGAGAGCGACTGCCACAGAGGGGAATACAAGCACCTCAGGGAAGTGGGCGCGCATGCGCAGAGCTTCCAGGTCCAGTCTATCCGGAGGATACAGCACTGATGGGCGCGCCACAAAATATGCAAATGAGGGGGCGGGGTCCTCTACAATAAAGTCTCGCCATATCTTAGCAAATCTTTGCCAAAGTGGGGTGCATGTAGAGGAGGAGGCAGACGGGACAAACACTGACCACGCCCCTCTACGAAAATGGATAAATTGAAACCATAAGGAGGCGTCCGAAACCAACACACTAACACTACACCCCCAAATATGCAAATGAAATATATGGAAATTAGGACGTTCTACAGTCATGCTCGCAGTAATTTTTATGATGGTGATTATCCGTTACTTATGAAGGAAGGGCCTTGTGGGCACTACAGATCCTGGAATTCCATAGCATTGCCTTAATAAATATATTTATATCTCTCTCTTATTATTATTTGTTGTTTCAATGGTAGTCAAAAGCTAAAGACTGGGAAACTATGATGCTCAGGGCTCCATAGCATTTACCCAAAGGCTAAGACCTTTCAAAACTACAACTCCCATGATATTATAGCATCTATGGCACTGAGGCCCTCTGGTGGCGCAGTGGGTTAAACCTCTGGAGCTGCTGAACATGCTGACTGAAAGGTTGGTGGTTTGAATCTGGGGAGCAGGGTGAGCTCCCACTGTTAGCCCCAGCTTCTGTCAATCTAGCAGTTCGAAAACATGCAAATATGAGTAGATCCAGCAGGAAGGTAACGTCGCTTCATGCAGTCATGCCGGCCACATGACCCTGGAAGTGTCTACGGACAACGCTGGCTCTTTGGGTTAGAAATGGAGACGAGCACCACCCCGAGAGTCGGACATGACTAGATTTAATGTCAGGGGAAACCTTTATCATTACCTTATGGCATTAAGAGGCTAAGGACCTTGGGAAACGACAACTCTCATGACTCCATAATAGCATTCAGACATAATACAACTCTCAGGGCTCTATAGCAACGAGTTTCAATAGGCCTTAGGAAACTACAACTCCCAGGACAATATAGCATCAATGTGTGGCATAAAAAGGCTATAGAGCCTTGGGAAAGCTACAACTCACAGGGTTTCATAGCATTGGCCTAAAGGCTAAGTCCTTTCAAAACTACAACTTCCAGGACATTATAGCATCTATGGCAGTGAAAGGTTAAGGGCCTTGGGAAACTAAAATTCCCATAATAATAATCATAATAATAATTTTAAAAATCCTCAAGAGACTCGGAGTGGCTTACAACCATGAAATAAAACATATAAACAAAATAACATATCCAATTAACATTATAGCATAAATAATAATATAATATAATGTAATATAATATGTTAATACAAATACTAGTAATATATAATAATAATAATATATTTTTATTACATGTAATATTACCAATAATATTATAATATAATGGTATAGTACAATATAGTAATATTTAATATTGTACTATGCTAATAACATAATATATTGTATGTATATATATATATATATATATATATATATATCTTGTAAGCCACTCTGAGTCCCCTTCAGGGTAAGAAGGGCGGCATATAAATGTTGTAAATAAATAAATAAATGGCATTAAAAGGCCATGGATCTTGAAAAAATGCAACTCCCAGGGTTCCCTAACATTGGTTTATGGCATTCTAAGGCCAAATCCCTTGGAAAACGACAACTTCCAGGACTCTATAGTAGTAATCCATGGAACTCAATGGCAACTCTTAGAATATAGCATCAATCCATAGCATTGAGCCTTAATAGGCCTTGGGAAACTATAGCATCAATTTAAGGCATTAAAAAGCCTTGCCAAACTACAGTTCCCAGGACTCCATAGCATCGATGTATGGCATTAAAAGGCTATAGACCTTGCAAACTACTACACCCAAGACTCCATAGCATTGGCCCAAAGGATAAGGGATTTCAAAACTACAGCTCCCAGGACACTATAGCTTTGACCTATGGCAGTTCTTGGAAAACTGTGGCAGACCTTGGTGAACCTTGAGTCACAGGGTTCCAAGATCTATGGCCTTCACAGTTCAAAGACTTTAGAAATTACAGCTTTAGAATTCCATAGCATTGGTCCAAAGGCAAAAGACCCTCAGAAACTGTAACTCCCAGGGCACCATACCACAGTTCTATGGCACTAAAAGACTTTGGAAGACTACAACTCCCACGACTGCATTGATGATCAAAGCAGATAATCCACATTATTTGATCTGAATAGGATTACAAGAGGTCCCTTCCATACAACTATATACAATCGACATTGAACTGGATTATAGTGCTGTCTGGACAGTTCAAAGCAGATATTGTGGATTTTCTGCCTTGATATCTTGAGTTCTATGGCTGTGTGGCAGGGTCCTCAGTCAAGTCAAAGCAGATAATTTGGATTTTATATGACAATGCAGAAGAGAATGAAGAGAGTAAGACTCCTCCTTCCTTCACTTCCAATGAGGGAAGGAGGAGTCTTGCTCTCAATCCATCCTAGCTCTAGCTTCCTGCTTTGAGGGAGCGTGCAGGGCGAGGCCACGTCCCGCGGTGCATACTGGGAGGAAGAATCTGCTTTCTGCCAGGCGTAGAGCCGCTCGCGCGCTAGTGCACTCACATTCTGATTGGCTAAGGCGCCCCGCGCTTGATTGTGACGCAGTGCCTCCCCTTCTATTTAAGATTTGGGCGGTTTCTTGGAGGCTCCTCAGAAAAGACTTGGAAGAGGAAGGGGTGGGCGATTGAGGAGGCCAAGATGACCGCGAAGGCCCCACGTCCCGATTGGGAGAAAGAGTACCTTTGGCACAGCCTTCTAGCGCTGGGCTTCGACCCTGAAGGGGCCGCCGCAGCCGCCGGGAAGATTTCCACGCACCTCCGCCTGGGAGAGTGAGTCCAGCGAGGAGGAAAAGGGAGAAGGAGGAGGAGGCGGCCTTAGAAGGAGGAGGAGGCGGCCTTAGGGTTGTGGTTGCCCCGTTCCCTCAGAGCCCTATCCTTCTCAGGGCGGGGCTGGCTTTGAGTCAGAGGTGGGCCTGTGCTGGGAAGGGCTTTGGGCAAACTGAGGGCCCTTCCACACAGCCCCATATTCCAGAATATCAAGGCAGAAAATCCCACAATATCTGCTTTGAATTGGGTTGTCTGAGTCCACACTCAGATAATGTAGGATTTTCTGCCTTGATATTCTGGGATATAGGGCTGTGCGGAAGGGCCCTCAGTTTGCCCAAGTTCTGGGAGTGCCTTGGACCACGAGAATATCCAACCAGTCCATACTTCAGGAAATAAAGCCCGACTGCTCACTGGAGGGAAGGATAGTAGAGGCAAAAATGAAGTACTTTGGCCACTTCATGAGAAGWAAGCTTAGGGAAGACAATGATGCTGGGGRAAATGGAAGGGAAAAGGAAGAGGGGCCAACCAAGGGCAAGATGGATGGATGATATCCTTGAAGTGACTGGCTTGACTCTGAAGGAGCTGGGGGTGGTGACGGCGCTCTGGCATGGGATGGTCCATGARGTCACAAATAGTCAGAAGCAACTGAATGAATAAACAATAGTATGAAAGCTGGGTCCAGAAGCTCTGAGCGTTATACTGTTTGTGATAGTATGATAGCTGGGTTCAGAAGCTCCGAGTGTTACAGAGATGCTGCAAAGGCGGCTGTGAATAAAGGAAGAGAGGGGGTGGAGTGAGAGCGGGGAGAGCGAAGGAAGGATAGAAAGGAAGAGACACTTATGGTAAGGGTTAGGGCAAGGTTTAGGGGTAGGGTAAGGGAGGGTTTGGGTTAGCGTAAGGGTTTGGGTCAGGGATTTCCACTTCACTCCTTCGGGAGTGCTATTTGTGCAACGCAGAATGGAACAGATATTATAGAAGGAATGTAAGAGTTCTTTAATGGTAAAACCCTTATCCTAAGTTTAACGAGGTATATCCCCACCCTCAATGTGCCACTCTCCCCTTCCCTTATTCACAACTGCCATTGCGGAATGTGCATAATGCTCGGACCTTCCAGACCCAACTATCATACTATCACCTAGGACTGTTCAGAACGGCCCCCAGACTCAAGGAGCCTTAAAAAATTGACAATATGCTATATTTCCTTTGACCAGAAGCTGGTCACTTGGAGCACCTCTGGTCTCGCTGTAAGAAGGTCCTTTCCATTGTGCATGTGGCAGGGCCCAGACTGCATTGTAATATGTGGTCTGTGGTTTCCTCTTCTCTGCACTCGCATGCTGTGGACTCCACTTTTTAGCTCTATTTCTTAAGATTGCTTCTGCATCTTGTGGTGTCAGAGCACAGTCTGTTCAGTGCCTTCTAAATCACCCCGTCTTCTGTGTGCCCAGGAGGGAGCTTCTCATCTGGTCTCAGTCATGCATTGAGGTTCTGGGTTTTAGCCTGCCACTTTTGGACTCTCACTTGCTGAGGTGTTCCTGCGAGTATCTCTGTACGTCTTAGAAAGCTATTTCTTGATTTGGCATTGGTGTGCTGGCTGATATCCGAAAAGAGGACGGACTGCAGATGTCAATGCCTTGGTCCTTTTATTGCTGGCTGCTACTTCCCGGCAGATATCAGGTAGTGCGATACTGGCTAAGTAGTATAATTTCTCCAGCAGTGTTGGGTGTAGATATCCTGTGATAATGCTGCATGTCTCATTAAGAGCCACATCCACTGTTTCATGAGGTGGGATGTATTCCACACTGGGCATGTGTACTCAGCAACAGAGTAGCAAAGCACAAGGGCAGATTTCTTCACTGTTGTGGTGCCCAAGTTGTACCAGTCAGCTTTCATATGATATTATTTCTAGCACCCACTTTTTGCTTTATAATTATACAGTGCTTCTTGTAAGCCAGAGTGATTCCCAAGTATTTTGGTGTCCTTCAATGCTCCAGTGAGATACCTTCCCAGGTAATCCTCACAGCTCAAGATGCTTGTCTGTTCTTAAGATGAAAAGTACACGTCTGCATTTTAGATGGATTAGGAATCAGCTGGTTTCCCCTCTAATAGGCAGTAAGAGCACCTAAATCTTTGGAGAGCTTCTCTTCAACCATTTCAAAGTTCCCTTATTGAGTGGTGATGGCACAATTTTCAGCATAGATTAAACTCTCTGTCCCTTCTGGCAGTGGCTGATCATTTGTGTAAATGCTAAACATTGATGGAGCAAGCAGACTCCCTTGAGGCAGGCCGTTCTTTTGTGTTCACCATCTGCTTCTCTGGTCCTGTAAATCAACAAAAAAGGGCTTTCTTCAGTTTGTTGTGCTCCTTTTTTCATTAGAGGTATTTTACAGTTTTAATTTTATAGATAGTTGATATTGTTTAAACCACTGATTCTAAATCTGTGGTCCTCTAGGTATTTTGGACTTCAACTCCCAGAAATCTCAGCCAGTTTACCAGCTGTTAGGAATTGTAGGAATTAAAGTCCAAAGCACCTAAAGGACTTGCTTTTTTATGGTTGATTGATGCAAAGGGCCAACTGTAATATCACATATCTGTAAAATGGAGGCCAATGTTTCCAATTTTTTTATTGGAATTTTTCATCCCTAACCACCAAAAGGTTCAAAGGATTTGTTCTTTCTTTTTGATTTGCACATCCATAAAAATAATAAGAAATCTATTCACATGTATATACATGAGCCAATGCAATATTTTTTTATAGTAATTGCACCTGACTACTTGAATGCCCAGTATTTGATAATGGATTTTTTTCTTTGTTTATCATTGACAAATTATTGATTTCTGCTATTCTAAAAACGTTTACCATCCAGTCTTCTTTTGTCTGAAGCTCTGACTTCTTCAATGTTGTGTATATAGCATCCATGTTGCATTTAAACTATGTATGTACTTTTTGCTTTTTGATGCAATATATAGGTATGCAATCCAAAATGTAGATCATGGCCTTCTGATTTTAACAATCTTTTGTTTTCTTGCTTTTAAAGGAATATGTTCGATCAGCCAAACAAAGACGCATTTCATGTTGTTGCATGGTTTTTGTTTTCAAAGCTGGACCAGTCACGTTGCAATGAGATCTTCAGGTGAGAATATCATTTCTCTGACATCATGGAAGAATATTTTAATTACTCAAAATCTTTAAGCTTAGTTATTGGTGTCCACAAAATCTGTCAGTCTTGCTTAGCCAAAGCATACACTATTTCTAGAATCAGGATTAGCTTTGTCTTCTGTCTAGTTGATGGCAAGCTTGATGAGTCGGTGGCCAAGGTACCCTTTATCATCTTTTTTTCCTGCATGATATGTTCATTTGGCAACTTCTCAACCTGCTCATATAACCTAAGTGATGGGTTTCACCCTAGTATAGTTTAAGTGTAAGATGAATGACACAAAAACTAATGCATGTGATTAGGTTGGTGACAATGTTTGTATGTATTGGTCAAGAAACCTAAGCACTTGAATACTGTCTGGAATAAATGCCAGATGCTCTGGACTGTAAACAGAGGTAAGATAATTCTCCAGCATTAGAGGTGTAAGAGAAAGGGAGTCTCTAGCCAGACTTGGGAATGAATCTCCTCACAATGGTCCTAATTGAATCAAGTAGGGCAGTTACAACTTCTGCTGAATCTTGGAGTTGGAGATAAGAGATGTGAGGGATGTGTAGTGAATTTCTCGTGTGTGGTTGATTTTGGTTGGTCACTTGACAAGCTGAGTGGGTGCAATGAGAGATTAAAAATCACTAACAATTAGCTCTTATCAGGCTGCTTTCACTCAATGCAATAGATGATGCTGCACTGACATGTTGCCCAAAATGCTGATTTATGCTGGTAAGACTATAGGTATATTTAAGTTGCAAGAGAATATAGAAAGGTGTAGCAGAAAAACACTCGGAAAACCACTGTTGCCATTCAGCCTCTACAGTAAGCAAAATAACTTGCTAGTGTTCTTAAGTAACATCAGAAGCCTCCTGTATGGCTGGGTTATGGCAAGGGAGGTATTTAGTGTCTTGAGCACATTTTGAACTTTGTTTCTTTCCTTTCCCTGGGAATGGAAAGATTGTGTTTCCCCCCGACAGATAAAAAGGAGGACGCAGAATGTCGAAAACAGGCCTATGAATGGCTGAAAAAAATTTCAGTAAGTACAGTATTAGCAAAAATTAGATGCTATCCATGTATTTGACCCAAACTTACCAAGGTATGCCTCTGCATGTATTGCTATGTGAAAGTTACTTTTAACATTGTGTCATGATAGTGGAGATAGTTCTTATACAACATTAAGTAAGCACATTTTCAACTTTTGAAACTGCTCATCGCCTGGAAAAATGGCAAGTAATTAGAAATGGCATCGGAGAAGCATTCAGAAGAGATACATCTCTTAGGCCCCTTCTACACTGCAATATAAAATCCAGACTATCTGTGATATAAAGTCCAGATTATCTGCTTTGAACTGGATTATATGGCACTGTGGACTCATAATTCAGTTCAAATCCGATCATGTGGATTATCTGCTTTGGTACTCTGGATTATATGGCAATGTGGAAGGGGCCTTAGAAGGAGGGCCATAGTGTCCCCTGCTTCCTTAGTTGTTTGCTTCTTGATAGTGGAAAGCTTGCCTATATTACCCCCCCCCCCCCCAAATCGTTGCACACAGGACCATTAAATTAATATGTTAAGATTCCCATTGTTGTTTTAAGATTACATTTAGTATCCTTTATATTGCATGAGCATAATCCTATCTTTAGCAAAAGTGGACCGATATTGTTAGACTGAAACCCCATTGAACCGACGAAGCATTTAGCCAGTAGTGAGATGTATTAGACATACAGTCCAGCAGAATAATCTGGGCAGCCATAACTGCATTCCCCTCTTAGTGAATTTACAGGTGAAATTAAGATAGTCATAAGATGAAGCTGATGCTGCTGTGATATTTGAGATCCTGCCTAACAGGGTCTTTGGCTTTAAGCACTAGTCCTTGCTTTGACTACCTATAGTATAAAAAGTCAATTGTGTGGCATAGAAGAGAAAAATGCCCATTCTGGCACAATAGATTGCCAGCAGTCTTTTATACTGAAATGGCTGCTCCATCAATACTATCTTCAGGTTGTGGTAAGATTTGGCATGGTAAACCCTGACAGAGAAACAAAAGCCATTTGGCACAGTTCTGCTTGCTTGGTAAGTCTAATTGCAAAGAAGAAAAGCATAGTAGCTAAAACATTATATAAACGGTTGTGTTGTAGAAAGACTTAACTTTCTCAAAAAATCTTAATCTCTTTATTTTCCTAGGATGATTGCGGGGAAGGCTTTCCTCCAGTTGTTCCATCCTTATTCCTTTCTCCTGGAGGTCCCAAGTTCATTCACCTAATGTTCCATTTCTCAAGATATGTCATAATGCATCATATTAAAGTGAATTCTACAGGTAAACAACCGTGTTGGTGCAGGATGCAATGCCTGCAAACCTTTCCCCTTTGAAGTTGGTCCCCAATCTGATTTTGGGTAGGGGGGTGTTGTGCTACCAGTGACCTTTCCTATATAAATCCACCTGTTGCATAAAGCCTGTATGTTGTAGAAAACTCTTAAGATGCGGCAAGGAGTCCTATCAAACTTGCATGTGTTTGAAAATACCTCTGGCATTCCCTTGTGACTGCATACTGCTGTAAAAGTTCAGCAATGAAAACAAGCCTTTTGCTTATCATTCCCACAATTGCTGACTCATGCAGATCCTTTGATAAAGTTTCCCCAAGCAGCTTTTGAAAAACAGTAGTTATTGTTGTTATCCTTTCTGTGTTTCATGAAAGCATTGGAATCTTTGCTGAAGGATAGAATAGAAGAAGTAAGTAATTCTTGGTAGACTGCATATTATATAGATATTTGAGCACTTTCCTGGTAATAAGTACAGTGTTGATACTGGATTCAAGAAGCCCAGGTACTTAGAGGAGTAGCCACAAGTACAAAAGGTTTGGGAAACTCTGGACAACCTTTTCTTTTTTGTGTAGCAGGTGGAATTTCCTTCCCAAAAGCGCTGAACTCAAAATCTCCAGACCTCAGTATGGCAATGGCAAAATTCCAGGTTTGTCAAAATCGATTTTTAATGGCTTTGCAAAAAGAAGATTCCCTCATTCAGGAACTTCAGAAGAAAGCACAGTAAGTATGTCTATAAATGAATGTGATTAGTAGATTTTAGATGAATTGTCAGCACTTGCTATTTTTATATATTTATGTATTTTATTGCATATACACTGGAATAGCTTGAATAACTTAATGACTGTGAAAGCCAGTAATTATTAGATGTGATATGCATTCCTATACTGGGAAATTTGAAACAGAGTATACTTGGTCATCTGTCAAGGATGCTTTAAACCTCGGGTTCCTGCACTGGGAGTAGAAATGCAAAGGTCTCAAAACCTTTGGAAGAATTTCTCCCTTGGTTCTCCTCTCTTCCAGTCTTTTTTATGAGAAGAAAATGAAATCACTTGGATTGTGGATTTTTTAAAAAGGAATTATGAATAAAACATTTAAAGCAAGGTGTTTTGGAGAGATATTTGATCTCTCCAAAAATTTTCCTTAAAAAATACAAGAGGACTGTTAGCTCAGAAAGCATATATGTGGTCATTGCAATTCTTTCTTTATTTTTGCATCACTTCTAGGTTCTTATGGGAATGACTACTTTCTGCTTAACATTATAGAAGGCTAGAAGAGACAAGATAATTGTCTGTGCTTTATTGATGTTAGTGGTGTACTTTAACTGATTTTTGCCTGCTCCTAATAAAATGGCAAATGCAAGAAGAGCTCCTTGCAGTTCAAGACTTCAGTTGTTATTGAAAAAAAATAGTTTCACAAAACAGAGTTATATAGTTATAGAATACTGTATTTCAATATATAATTAATGGCTAATTTCTGAAAGGAAAAAATGCTTTTCAGTCTGCAGATGATGCCAATACTACATGGCATCAACATTTCTCAAGATTTTACATCTCTAATTGGTAGTTGGGTCATCTGTTTATCTTGGATGAATCCCTTGCCAGTGGCTTTTGAGTTTTACTTTTCTATTTACAGGCTTTTAACTAAACAAATAAGGAATTTACAACATGAAAATGCAGATCTGGACAGACAGCTCCAAAAGTATGTGTACCCTGTTAACTTACATACCTTTTAAAGTTTCTATCTAAAGTGTTTTCCCTCTATCAAGTTTCCTAGGACTTTTGCTGTGCAGCAGTACATTTAATGAGTATAATAAGTTATGGGAGAAAGAAGCTTTAGATATTTAGTGATGTAATTTTTTTTTGCTCTGTCGTGTGGAATATTTTCAATTCCTTGACAAAATGTATCTGAATTTACCTAAGAAATATTACTCTTGCTATTAGTGAAACTTTTTGTTTTTCCCTTGGGCAGAATTAAGGAAAATGTTCCCCAAAATCAACTTGACACCCTTCAGAGAATTGAAAAGGTAAAGATTTCTGACCATGTATTCACAGTATAAATTTTCATTTGAAATGTAATATTGGCTTTTTCAAGGGTTTCTTGTGTTTCCACCTTTCTAATTTCTCAAGGTTCGTTCTTCATGGGAGACAGTAATGAAAGTATTGCATCTTCTGCGAAATGAAAGAGAAGTAGTGGATGCAGTACTTAAAGGCCATGTAGACGAATATATATTGGATGGCACAAGTGTTAATATCAACATCCCAAGGCCTCTGATTGAAAAAATTGAAAAGGAAATACACACGGTAATTATCTGCTTTTTGGACACTTCATTTTAAGTCTCTGACTTAAATTGTCATTTGATTTAGCTGTGTGATATTGAATAAAGTTAATTAGTTACTGAGCTTGGATTAGAGAAAGTCAAGCCAAGAATGTATCTGCCACAATGGCGCAACAGGTTAAACCGCTGAGCTGCTGAACTTCCTAGCCAGAAGGTTGGTTCGAATTCGTGGGACAGGGTGAGCTCCTGCTGTTAGCCCCAGCTGCTACTTACCTAGCAGTTTGAAAACATGCAAATGTGAGTAGATCAATAGTTACCGCCTCGGCAGGAAAGTAAATAATGTTCCATGCCACCCTAATGACCTAGGAGGTGTCTGTGGACAATGCAGGTTCTTCAGCTTTGAAATGGTGATGAACATCACCCCCAGAGCCGGAGATGAAAGGGGGAAGCCTTTACCATTATCTGTGTATCTGTTTCATTGTTTCGAGGCATTGAATGTTTGCTTTGTGTCTGGATATGTCTGTATATACTGGAATCTGAGTCTTCTTGGGGATCCATTTATATTATTTTATTTATTTATTTACAACATTTATATGCCATCCTTCTCACCCTGAAGGGGACTCAGAGCGGCTTACAAGAGATATATACATACAAAATATTATTTTATCATAATACAATATCAGTATTATATATTACTATATTGTACTATACCATTATATTGTAATATTATTAGTAATATTACATGTAATATAAAATATATAATTATAATATCATATTATTAGTATTATATTGTATTACATTATAATATAAATATAGGTATATACAATATATTACATTACATTACATTATAGTATATTATTAGCATAGCACAGGAGACAAGGTGCAACTGTCTTCTGCCCCCCTCTGTCTTCACTCTGGCCCAGAGTGGCAGTTGGTGCTGGGAGGGGTCCCCAACTGATGACATATGCAAGGGACAAGATTGATCTGTCCCCTGGCCCCCTCTTTCTTCACTCTGGCCCAGAATGGCAGTTGGTGCCCGGGGGGAGGGATCTCCGACCAATGACATATGCAGGAGACAAGATGGAACTGTCCCCCTCTCACTTCACTCTGGCCCAGAGCGGCAGTTGTTGCTGAGGGGAGGGGTCTCCAACTGATGATAAAGAGGTTTCTCAGGAGTTTAGAGTGCATTGCTTCCTTGTTAAATGTATGATTACATGCTAATCATGCACTTATTTGAGCTGGAAAACATTAATCACAGATGGTCTATCTGAGCTCCCTTTACTGAAAACAGCAACAATCAACATCTAACTTCTCTCATGATTGAGATGACTGAAATGTGATAGCTTAATATGTGCATTGTCAAATGATCTGTTCTGAATCCTGCCCATTTATCTGCTACCTCTGTTGGCTAGACCTTTTAGAGGGGCAGGTGTTATTTTTATGATAGCTAACCAAGGTAGTATCCCTGACTGCAAATTATAAGTATTCAGTCTGTAAACCTACTTAGTCAAAAGACATTTTCAGGGTATTGTACTGTGGAGCAGCTTTTATACTCATTAAAAGCCAATTGGGATAGTTGCCAATTTTTTTTAGTCCACTAGCATGTTGTTGTTCATTCGTTCAGTCGTCTCCGACTCTTCGTGACCTCATGGACCAGCCCACACCAGAGCTCCCTGTCGGCCGTCACCACCCCCAGCTCCTTCAAGGTCAGTCCAGTCACTTCAAGGATGCCATCCATCCATCTTGCCCTTGGTCGGCCCCTCTTCCTTTTTCCTTCCAATTTCCCCAGCATAATTGGAAGGCAAAAGGAAGAGGGGCCGACCAAGGGCAAGATGGATGGATGGCATCCTTGAAGTGACTGGACTGCCCTTGAGGGAGCTGGGGGTGGTAACGGCCGACAGGGAGCTCTGGCGTGGGCTGGTCCATGAGGTCACGAAGAGTCGGAGACGACTGAACGAATGAACAACAACATGCTAGTGGACTAAAAAAAAAAACACAAAACAGTCACTTTTTACTATTGTTAGCACCACACTGCAAAAGGTTTTAAGTACAGAGGTTCAAAATAACTTCTTTAGTTTTTGCTTGATCTGCAGAGGCTCTGGATTCTGCATTGTTGCGTGTGGAAGTTTGGTTCAATTCTATTATAACTCCAACTCTCTCAAATGCCAAAGTATATTTTCCCCAAACTCTACCAGTGTTCACATTGGGCATATTGAGTATTTGTGCTGGATCCATCATTATTTGAGTCCACAGTGCCTTTTGGATGTAGGTGAACCACAACTCCAAAATTCAAGGTCAATGCCCATCAAATCCTTCCAGTATTTTCTCTTGGTCATGGGAATTCGGTTTGGCAAGTTTGCTTCAGTTCCATCATTGGTGGAGTTCAGAATGCTCTTTGATTGTATAAACTATAAATCCCAGCAACCATAACTCCCAAATGACAAAATAACCACCCCCACCCCCCGCCAATCCCACCAGTATTCAAATTTGGGCATATTGGGTATTTGTGCCAAATTTAGTCCAGTGAATGAAAATACATCCTGCATATCAGATATTTACATTGCGATTCATAACAGTAGCAAAATTACAGTTATGAAGTAGCAACAAAAATAATTTTATGGTTGGGGGTCACAATATGATGAACTGTATTAAGGGGTCGTGGCATTAGGAAGGTTGAGAAACACAGGTCTAGCAGAACATGAGCTATTCTGTGTCATAATGGAGGTTGGACTGAATCAAGCTTTGATAAGATGACCTGAATTAAGCAATGATCTACAAGACTAGGAAAGAAAAAAAATTACTGGGCTCTTACAAAGTAATAAGTTCTGAACTATTGTTAGAAGCTATATCTGCACTTCTAAAAAATTCAGTTGCCAGAGATTTAAGACTACAGCTATTTGTACTGTATATTTATTGAATGTAACTCTGAGGATTTCTCCACTAATTTCAGTTGCATTATGCCCTCTTTTTCTGTGTTTAATTGTGGGATGATTCTTATATTTGCACTCTTTTTCCCCTTGTTTACAATACCTGAAGTTCCCTATGGGGAATGTGTACGAAGGAGGAAAACTAAACAGTTTAACAGTTATCCAGTTGCTAAACAGAGCCTTGAAAATGTTGATTAATGAGCGTCGACACGCTGAAAAGGATCCACTAAAATTGGATCTCAAGTATTTTGAAGGAAAAACCAAATCCCAGAACAAGGCTTTACAGGGACTAAAGTCACTGAGGTGAGCATGGAAGTCTGTGGCATTAATACTGTATTCGTTGGCCATCACATTCTTTCTTCCAGACAAATAGGCAAAATCTGAGCCAATTCAGATAAAACAATCTTTTCTTTGTCTGAGCTGCCACCGCCTCCCCCCCCTTGAATAAATGCACAACTTAATTCATTATTTCTAGTGTTCCAATGACAGTAGAAGCAGAAAATTGGTTTGAACCATCCCTTCAATCTTGATATGCAGAGAGGGGCCTTAATCCACCCTAAGTCCCCTTGGGGAGATAGGGCGGGATATAAGTGCAGTTGTTATGGTTGTTGTTGTTATTTGATCCTTAACAAGATTAGTACATAGCAGACAAGTTCACTATGCTGTCTTTTTTATTTGATAACATGGTGTCTAGGATTATGTGATGTATTGGCGAACAATGCATGCAGATCCGAGTAGGGTGGCCTTTTGCAGCTGATAGATGGTAATTTTGTCAGCACAGATTCTTTTCAAGTACAGGCCAAGGTCTTTAGGCATCATTGCCAAGAATGTAATAATTGAGTAACCATTTAACAAATTGAAAACAGATTTGGGCTTAAGTTTGTCTATAATTTTGTGTAAATGAAACTTGTTTGTTGTGTGCTTTCTTTTTCTTTTCAATTATTATGAAACACAAGTAAATTGTAATCAAGGTACAGGAAGCAAATGCTGTTGACAGTTTCTGTATTTTCATAACAAAATGCTTGTTTTTAAAGTAGCCTTATGAAATCTGCATTTATTTGAGTATAGGCAATGAAATTCACCCAATAAACATATTGGGTATTAATATTCTTATAGGCTAAAATTAAAGCACGAGGACCGAAAATTGATAAGCCAAATGATTACTGAAAAACAACAAGAATGGGATTTGAAATGGAAAACCTGTCTTGGCCAGTCACCTTTTCGGTTAATGAGAGAGCCAAACCCTGTAAGTATTTGCAGAGTAAAAGAATATGAAAGAGCTTTTACTTAAAAAGAAATATATAAACTAGGTATACTCATGTATAAATCAAGGTTATGTTTTGGAGCCAAAATTACGAATTTATATTTGACCCAGGGTAGATGAATCTCTCACTTTTGTTCCTCATAAAAGGAAATAGTTTCTTTTAGTTGTACTACTTTTGATCTGTGGCTAAATTGACCCAGTTTTGGGAGTTGATTTTTTGGCTAAAATTTCTATGCTTGAACCTGAATATATACAGTGCTTAAAAAGGGTTTCCATATACAATGGAAACAAATGTCTGCTATGAATTGCAATAGAGATATTCTTTCCAGTAGTATGAATTGTTGAGCTAATTAAATTTCAAGGTAGACATCTCCTTGTAGTATAGTATAATTTTAGGTATTTGAATATCAAGCTTCTTAATGTAACACTGATTTTGTTTTTCTTTTAGGCCCTTGACTTTTTACCAGCCATGTCCCCACTTTCTTTTGCTCCTGCAACAGAGGAAGCTTATAAAAGCAGTGTCTTTTGCCAGTTCCCTGCATCAGTTCCAGGTAGGACTTGAACTAAGTAAGGGCTTTACTTGCTATTTTGAATGGGATTCAGATCTTGGGCTTAGCTGTGGCAGTAAATGGTTTAATATAGAATGTCTTGTTCCAGTAGCTACTTTTGAGAAAGAGTGCTTAAGGACTTGGATGAATGTTTGCAAAACGGGTGAACAGGGCTTCATTTTCATTGGTTCGGGATTCTGACTGGCAGACTATATGTATGTCAGTTCTTGACAAAATAGACATAACACTAATTTAGGAAGCATTAACATACCGTATCAGACATTAAGATTCAGAAGATAGAATCTCGTGTGTCAACTGGATTGTCAACCATGTCTTTTTGCGTTTTATCTTACCCAATTGCCCCAATCTATAGCTCAGATTGCTGTAGATTTCAAAGACTTCTGAAATTTGGTAGGGAGGTTCCTAATATATGTCTAACAGTTGAATGCAGTTTGAATCAAATGAGGAGCATTCTCTCCTGTCCATAATAACAAACACCTTGTCTTAATACTTAAACAAGAGCCTAAATTGTGTGTGTGATTTTTAAAAATATGTTTTAGAGGTAATCGAAAAGAATCTCCAAACAGATCAATTTGAGGGAACTGGTAAAGCAAGAGAATGCCAAGGTTATTCAACTGTGCTGACTGCAGAGAGGTATGATTTTAATATATCCTTATGCAGTGAATTGGTGCATGCAAAATGAAGGCACTTTTTGGGGTTGGGGTGCTATTAACACTGTTTTGGTCCATGTTTTTATCCTTCTTAGCCATGAGATTAGCACAAAAATGGACAAGATAGATTTCAGTCCTGAATTCAGCCTATCAACCCCTGCCTGAAAAAGCCATAAAACCATAAAAACCTGTTTTATGGCAAATCATGAAGTGTGTGCTAAAACTAAAAAAAACTGAAAAAGAACCCCCTCCCCAAAAAAACCCCTTAAACTGAAAATGTGGCCCTTAAGCATATGGTAAACCCAAAAAGTGCCCCCCAGTTGCCCCTCACTTGTTCTTCTTTGATTGTAAGGAAATGTGGCTGGAGATGCTAATCTAAGTCAATATTTTAGAACATCCTGACAATGAATGAGACATTTGCTCCCTTGTCTGCCACTTCCTTGTAGCAAGGAGGCACCCAGATCCCTAGTGGGAGTAACGCGATTCTGCTTTGCTTCTCCTGGAGTTAAAACTCCCTCAAGAGAAGGATCACCCATCCCTTTCCTTTCAGTCTAGGAAGCATCTCTGGTCAAGGGCATTCTAGAATAGCTTCTACCCAGCAAATGCCCTTCGAGCTAGCACTCAATACTCCCATGCTACTCAGTAGCATAGAGGCTGTTTCTGTCTATATAGCATCTCTGACACATCTGATTTAAGAGAGCAAGAGTGATCAGACATCAGGGAATAAGAGTAACTAACAAGGGAGAGTCATTTCAATGTATATATGGTTTTGTTTGTGTATATACACATTGCTGTGGTGCAAAGGGGGAATTGTGTGGCTTTCTAGATGTTGGGGTGTGACACCTAGCATTCCTAGTTATGAAGTGTGTTATAGCTAGAACTTTTGCGTCTTGGAGCTCAACCACATCTGGAGACCTAGAACATGATCTCCTCTCCAAGGACAAGGAAACCTTTGTCTATCTGTTTGGGAGGCCATTTACACAATGAGAGAAAAGCCATGCTCTCCTTGTCACAAGTCTCCCTATAACAAAGATGCCTTCCGATGACCGGAACGAATGGAGGGAAATCGTAACGGACAGATACGGGGCACACAACTTTCATCAGCTGAACAATATCAACAGAAATACATAATGTCATTGCTGTCTCTCTAGTAATCACTTTTTTCTAGGGATGTCATGTCTTCGAATCTTGCTAGAGCCTCTGAAGACAGGATGGCTTTTGAAAGGGTAACCCACCTCTAGCTTATATATATTTCTGCTCTTTCTTAAGGAAAGTTGAAGGGCATCTATGAAGCTGTAGAATATATGAGTTGTCTTATAATAAATTGATCTGGTTCTTTTACTCTGCTTATGAGTGACCTTTGAGTGCTTGTTTGAGGAGACAATGCAAATTCAAAAATAAATATGTTCTTTTCTGACACTTAGACTGAATATGTATTTGCATATGCAAAAGAAGCTATCAGCATGTCTTATGCTGTGAATTTATGCTGAGAGGCCATGAAATGACTGGCCAAGACTGATTGGATATCAGTGCAGATAATCATTCAACTTGTAAAGTTCTCATTCTCTGAGTATATTCATACTTGATTATACTCTTGCTTTCAATCTAAATTTAATGACACATTACTAAAAATTGGTTATAGTCAAAGGAGTAGGAATTTGCCTGGCTTGATTAAGAACGGGACATTATCTTTTATTATATGGTGTCTGATATCTGACCAAGACATTGATACAAAGCCCATGAAGCCTCAAATCCTGAACTATGGTGTGAACCTTGAGGAGCTCTAAGGGGACATCCTAAGAAGGCATATGGAGTATCTTACTCCGATGGCTCTGTGACTCTGCTGCTTGAGAGCTTTGGTTACCCTGCGTAAAGCTCAATAGATTCACTAGTTATTTTATAGATCTGGAATCTTCATTGCTTAGGAAGACTTATTTATTCCAAGTCTGGAATACAAACACTACAATCATAGTAGTGATTGTAGTGTTTTCATCCGCAATTATGGCAGGTTGCAAAATATGGGAGTCTGCATGACGAATCAGTCCTAATACATATAAAATGTGTGTTCCCCCCAGGAATCCAATGCTGACACTCCTACAAGGGCAAAGCCTTCTGATTTTCAGATCTTAAAATATACAGGAAGGAAAAGTAAATTAGCAGAAATTGGGAAGAAAAGACAGATACGTGTTCCGAAGACACCGTCTACAGTTAAAAGAGAAGATCTTCTGAAGAGAGCACAAGAGCAACTAGCAGAAGAGGTGAGGAATAGTGGAATACAACTAAGATTTTTATTTGTTTACTCTCCTAAATAATAACAATATATAAGTATTTAAGTTACCAAAGACTAGAACCTTGTCGGTTACAGTAAAACTCAACAGTCCAAATAGATGTTAAATTTTTCCTTATTTCCTTATTATTTCCTTATTTCTTCACCTCTGTCATTTTCCAGATCTGGTATAAATAAAAAATAGCGGGAAACAGTCTAAAACGAAGGAGACAGTAAAAATGAAGGTTCTGGTGCACTAAACCAGATTACTATAATTGCATGAACACATAGGAGAAAGGTTCGATTGTCCTTGGATTTGTGTTGTGCCTCTCTATAGTAATACAGACTTCACCTTCAGAATTTTACATACAGAGAAGGCTCCTCCGCCCATAAAAATATCTATGTAGAAATTTTATTTGTTTGGAACGGTTCCTAAGAGATTAATGTTTCCAAACTGTTCTTAAGCATTGGCAGCATGGTAATTCTTCTAAACCTGCTGGGTTTCCTTGCATGGAGCCCTCATCTGTTACTTGCAAATTTCATAGATTCTGTATATTTATGCTTTAGACTCTAACTCACCTCAGGGGCCGTTTACCTTGTAGCACAAAAATCACAGGAGGTGAAGAAAGTGCTTGATCCCTCCTTAATTTCAATACTGGAAGATCTGAGCTGAGAAGGGCACTGAGTTCGTGAGCAGCTGGAAAAACTGGCTGCAACAAGTGAATGCATCCATTTCTTAAGAGCTGCTTTAGCTTGGCAGGACTCAAGGACTAGTGATTTTCTGTTCCAGCTTTTCATAAAGCTCCCCTTAAGTCCTTCATTTGGAAAACATAGGATTAGAACCCAACTGAAGCTCTTCCATGATTAGAATATGATTTCTCTTTTCTAAATCTTAGGATTTCTTTATTCTTTTAGGTCGCAAATGTGATAGTATCTGAATCACCACAGAACATTGGAGGAAAAGGAAAGGATTTGGAAGACCTGATTGGGTCCTTAACCTCAGATCCTTTCTTAACAAGGAAACAAATTCCACGAACTCCAGAAAACCTGAGTGAGTGTCTTTAATCTCGTAGCATTTTGCCATAAGTAGAAACCAGTTTTAATACTTTGAGGATCAGTTTAGCCTGTCTGGTAGATCCATATTACAAAAACCGTTTCTTGCTGCACCCATTGAAATGGGCTCAACAACATTATAGATCTCCCATGCAGTCTTTTGAGCAGCAGTTGTTGGGGTTCCATTCTTGAATTTGAAAGTATACAAAATGGGATTTTTCCCTATTGATATCCCACAGTAAGGAGATTGCGGCAAGTGCAGGATGTATAGTTCCCAGAAATCTAGAAGCCATTGAAAGAAAGAAATTTCCTTTTTTTAACAAAAAGAATTAGGGAAAATTGGAAAAATGCTGTATTAGCTAGTATTCTTTATAGATGGAAAGTGATTGAGTCACTTTTCATTTCAGGAATATAAAATATGCTTTTGTTTGGCATATTAAAAGTAGCATTTATTCAGAAAATAATTGCATAGAAAATATTTTGTAAAGTCTCTTAAATGGTTTGGGGGTTTATGAGGTTCAAACAAAAACCTACACAATATAAAAACAGGAAAACTGTTAATATAAATTAACCATAAAGTATCAAGAAGACCCAAAGTACTTATTTCTGTTATGAGAATTAAGAAAAGAAAACAAGAGCCAGGGAATTACAGTGATTTGGTATTTTGCAAGTTCTTTGGGATTTCCAGTGGTGGAGAACTGACATTGTCTCTTTAATGTGCCAGAAACATTATTTGGAAGCTCACTGTATACTGGTAGTTAATGGTTCATGGGCCAATTCTGTGGAACACCAGTTTGGATATCACTAGTGTATGTAATTTGATGTAAAAATCTACATAATGTTAAATGTAATGTAATATTAATAATAACTAAAATGAGACTAAGCCGAAGAATTACAATAAGGCAAAGTAAAATAGAAACAAGCAAATAATAACATCAAATAAAGTGCAAACAATAACAAAATATACAATAAAATGAACACAAAATAAAATGGCAAAGGAATTAAAACACAGTGGGCAGGGCCAAATGCAAGGGATAAAATTATAAAAGTCTGGGTGAGATGAATAAATAGAGTAATGTATCTGTATGAATGTATTGACTTCATATGGAGCTCCATTCTTGCCAAGGTTGAAAAATGTCAGTTCTGTACTGGACATGGGGAATCTTTTCTACTAGTAACTGTGTCTTAGCTTGTGTAAGAACTGAAGAAGAAGGAGATGGGAATCAATAGAATTTTATATATATATACATATATACATATATATACATACATATATATATATATATATAGAGAGAGAGAGAGAGATTTTGCTTTGTCTGGACAGAAGGAATCAATCAATTCATGGATGTCACTTTCTCCTTGGCAAATCTCCCATTCTTTGTATCTACATGCGCAATGGAGGACCTTCTTATAGCAACACCAGAGGCACTCCAAGTGGCCAGCTACTGGTCAGAAGACATTTAGTATAATAAAAAAGCTTTTTAAACTGTGTGTTTTTAAAATACATTACAACTGTACCCTCGGTTTGCTTCTGATACGATAAATATATAAAATTATTTGTATGGATACACATCCCTGTTCTTAGAAAAATAACCCCAAAAAAGGCTTGATGTTATTTGGACAATCTTAAAATCCCACTCTTGGGAAGGAGAGAGAAAATATGTCATTGGCCAGAGTTCAAGGTCTCTTTTCTACTTCATTTGAATAGCAGAATGATGCTTATTATTCAGCTTTATAATACCTTAGCCTTTGCTGTAATGATCTGATACCACTGTGGCTGCTGAGACTTTGCAGAATACAGGTGTGGCATGTATCGAAGCAAGTGAGAGAATCGATATTCACTATAGTTGTTTAAAATATGCTGTGGTAACCTATTACGACAATAATGTATTTATAAAGGTGGGGGAATGGAATAAAATGTTGACGTAACGTTTTCTTTATTTTAGTTAGTGAAATTAGAAGCTCATGGAAAAAAGCCATCCAAGTTGAGGAATCTTCAAAGACAGAATCACATCATGCTGATACAACAAAAAAAGACTTACTGCAAGATGCAGTCCTGGCATCTGGAACACCAGTAGATTCCAGTATGGCAGTCTTCATGTCATCTGGCTCAGTAGAATCTCCCCCTTTCCTGGAAATGCCATCTTCAGGGAACCTGAAGCAGGGGATTCTGGGTCCTAATGAATTGTCCTCCCACCAAAGATGTGCTGGGCCATTGGATGACAGTTTTTTCAAGCAAGGACTGACACCTACAGTTTCAGATGATCCTTCAACTGGCGATCCTACAGTCAGCCTCAAGACAGTAAATAAATGTGCAAACGAGTTGTGTGATGATCCAGGGAAGTCAGTTTACAGTCAGGATTCCTCATTGTGTACAACTTTGCCATGGACTGGCACTCGAATGTCAAGTGGCAATTATGACGATAGCCAAGAAGTTGTCCATTTCGGCATACTTCAAGAAACCCTTCCAGAAGAAGCAGAGTTTATAAGTCCAAAGAGCTTTAAGGATTTGGAGTCTGATGAAGTAAGGGAAGACAGCTCCCAAGACAACAATAAAGCTTTCCCTGATCATGTAGCAGAGAATGAGCATAAGTTGGATTTACACTCTATTCGGAAACGATACAAAGCATTGGAAAAGACTCTTCTCAAGAACTCATCTTCCAGAAAGCCCATTTCAAGACGCAGATCAGACTTCAGCCTTCTTTCAGTGGGCTTAGAAACTACCGATGTGCTTAGCCCTTCTGGGAAACCATATGCATTTGATGCTGAACTTATGAAGCCGCCAACACAGATGGCTCTTCCTGAAAGAAAAGTCCCTGCTTCCCCTCTCGTTCCCTTTTCACCATTGCAAGCAGGAAAAAATGTGGATGCCTGTAGTGAAGGAGACCTATTTGATAAACTAAAGGGTTAGTACAGTCAGATCTGCCAGGCAGATGTGAGTCTGAATAACTCTTTTTCAAAAAGTAGTATTAAAGTGAAGAAGAATGTGCAAAGACCTGTAAAGATGAAGCTCTTTTATGTTTATATAATCATGATCCACTGACTTGGCATATCACATTTGTGCATTCTTCTTTTGCTAAGAGTATTTTTGGAAACTTGATTCAAAGGAGACATTACTATTAACGAGTGCTATTCCTCATAGGTTTGTTGCCCAGTTTCGGTGGTAGAATCTCTTTATTCTAAAAATACTAATACATTGAAGTCACTTGAAACATTGGAAGAATAAAATTTAAAGATTTGAGAGAATGCAACACTAGAAAAAATATATATATTAATGCATCTTGTCTAACAGATAATAGTACATTTCTTCCAGATTTTTAAACATACAGATTGCTCTAAATTTCAAGCATAATTTTCAAGTGAGCTGTAGGGAAATAATTGGCTAGACTAGTTACTTATTTCATTTTACTCCTGATTAGAAATCTAAGGTCATTTCAGATTTCTTCTTGTTGAACTCATCTTGTATATGTTAGTTTTCTCTTAGGGGGAACGCTTTCCAAGGAGATTTACTATCGTAGACTTCTGTGAAAATAAGTTTAGTCTGGCTCCTTTTCTTTGCAGTTCCTTGTAAGGCCGTTTTATTTCTGCTACCATCTCAACAGAAAGCTCTATGCCATGCAATGCCAGAATTGGCTTCTTTCCATTTGGCATGGACTCTCCACAGGCACAAGGCATGGAGATAGATGGTCACATGGAGCAGGGTGTGTGTCTGTCCACTTCCATCCTGTTTGTCCACCTTCTTTGTGGGATAAATGGTGGGACGACAGAAGGATTAAAAATCCAGGATACCGTTTATTAAGAACAAATGAGTTCACCAGAATTCATTTCCCTAGTCAAGATGTCTCTGTAGAAAAAGAGCCAATCTATTAGGTTGTGCCTTGAAACTAAAAAAAAAAAGTTGTGCATCGGTTCTTTTCTTTAAGCTCTTATTCTTGAGGAGCAACATTTATTCTCAATAAAATATATTTTTAAAAAAACCTAATATTTGTCTTGAAATATTTATTAAAACACCTTTAAAAAAAGATTAACATAATAAACTTGACTCACAGACATCTTCTGAAGTTACTTTTCCTCCTCCTTTACCTTTTCTTATATGAAAAGTAAAAATTTCACAGATTTGTGGAGGAGGTCCAGGTTGCATATCCAGTTACCAGTTGATTTAAGTTTATGCACTCTTTCAGATTATTGGAAGTTCTGTGGTCATGTGGATCGTGTACCTTCTGGATTGAGAAATTACTGCTCCAGGAGCTGGAGTATAACCATAATCTAAGAACTGTACATTGTCCAAAGCCTATTTGATAACACTGTGTAACAATATTTGGGAAAAAAAAACATGTTCCTGGTTTGAAAGTGTTATTTTCTGTTTAGTTCTGTGGTACTTACTTTGAAAATATTTGTTATTTTCATTGTTGAAATACCTGGGTCCAAATATGTCCAACGAATTGATTTTTTGAATGTGTGCCTTCAAGTTGTTAGAGACTCCTATCAGAGGAGACAAACTCGTGGAGAGCGGGTTTCCCTTTGCCTTCCTCTTAGGCTGAGAGTGCGACCTGCACAAGGTCATCCTGTGCTTTTCCATGACTGAACAGGGATTTGATTCAAGGAAGAAGTAGGATACTTGCAGGCAGGAGGCTACTTTTGCAGACCTCAAGCAGTAAGGAAGGTTCTCGACGCAAAGGAGTAAGGAGGATAAAGGGACAGAGATGCCTTTGGAGAGGGGCTGCCTTGGGTCTAGTGCTTATCCTTGGTAGATTGAACTCACAAGGGCCCAAACCTGCATCCAACTGGCCCATTCTTCCCCACCCGCTGGAGCACTGAAAGGAGAAAAAAGCCATAATGCGTAAGCAGAGGAAAGTTTATCTGAGGAAGTTCCTCTGTTATTGATCAATTTAAAACAGCAGTGGATATTGAGATCCAGGCTGCTGTGGGTTAAGCCTGGTGAGAAAAAGAAGCCAATATTCCAGAATGAATCTCGCCAAGTTGAAGCAGAGGCCACTGAGGTATTTATTTAATTCCAGCTGAAAGTGATGCCAGTCTGTGGTAATCCGCCCAAGATAAGCTGAGATATACAGCAAAACAGGCATTTTTAAAATATACATGTCAGATTTGAAGTTCCCACTGTCTCCAGCTTGGCGTGATTGGCCAAGCCTGGATGATGCCAAATGAGGTCTCTGTGGAGGCAGGAATCCGGCATGCCCCAGTCAATGGGAGAGCGCTACCTGCCTCCGATGTACATTTCCCTCTGTCCAATGATTGGAGAGGAGTTGGCAGGTCTGAGAACAATGGGTGGGAGAATGTGAACTCCATACCAGAATGACAAAGGTCACGTATTGTCCAAGCAGCTGGGATAAAGGGCAGTGTGGAGGGACGCTATGAGAAGCGAAAGCGGGATATAAATCAATGTAAAATATAATCAGTGTACTATCTAGGGTCCTTCCAACCAGCCGTATAACCCAGAATACCAAGGCAAATAATCCACAACATCTGCTTTCAACTGGGTTAGCGGAGTCCACACTGCCGTATAACCCAGTTCAGTGTTTTTATAAAGCTGTGTGGAAGTAGCCCCTACTTCATCACTCTAGAGAATGAATTCACTTTATATCCAGTTTCTGCCTCCTGCAGAATTCTGGGGTTTGTAGTGAGGCTGTTAAAAGCCTCTATTCTGCCTTGGCCAGACAACATCTGGAATACAGTGTCCAATTCTGGGCACCACAATTGAAGGGAGATGTTGACAAGCTGGAATTTGTCCAGAGGAGGGCGACTAAAACAATCAAGGGTCTGGAGAACAAGCCCTAAGAGGAGCGGCTTAAAGAGCTGGGCAAGTTTAGCCTGAGGACAGAGAATCATAGAATCAAAGAATCAAAGAGTTGGAAGAGACCTCATGGGCCATCCAGTCCAACCCCCTGCCAAGAAGCAGGAATATTGCATTCAAATCACCCCTGACAGATGGCCATCCAGCCTCTGTTTAAAAGCTTCCAAGAAGGAGCCTCCACCACACTCCGGGGCAGAGAGTTCCACTGCTGAACAGCTCTCACAGTCAGGAAGTTCTTCCTCATGTTCAGATGGAATCTCCTCTCTTGAAGTTTGAAGCCATTGTTCCGCGTCCTAGTCTCCAAGGAAGCAGAAAACAAGCTTGCTCCCTCCTCCCTGTGGCTTCCTCTCACATATTTATACATGGCTATCATATCTCCTCTCAGCCTTCTCTTCTTCAGGCTAAACATGCCCAGTTCCCTAAGCCGCTCCTCATAGGGCTTGTTCTCCAGACTCTTGATCATTTTAGTCGCCCTCCTCTGGACACATTCCAGCTTGTCAATATCTCTCTTGAATTGTGGTGCCCAGAATTGGACACAATATTCCAGATGTGATCTGACCAAGGCAGAATAGAGGGGTAGCATGACTTCCCTGGATCTAGACACTATACTCTCATTGATGCAGGCCAAAATCCCACTGGCTTTTTTTTTGCTGCCGCATCACATTATTGGCTCATGTTTAACTTGTTGTCTACGAGGACCCCAAGATCTTTTTCACATGAACTGCTCTCGAGCCACGCGTCCCCCATTCTGTATCTTTGCATTTCATTTTTTCTGCCAAAGTGAAGTATCTTGCATTTGTCACTGTTGAACTTCATTTTGTTAGTTTTGGCCCATCTCTCTAATCTGTCAAGATCGTTTTGAATTCTGCTCCTGTCCTCTGGACTATTGGCTATCCCTCCCAATTTGGTGTCGTCTGCAAACTTGATGATCATGCCTTCTAGCCCTTCATCTAAGTCATTAATAAAGATGTTGAACAGGACCGGGCCCAGGACGGAACCCTGAGGCACTCCACTTGTCGCTTCTTTCCAAGATGAAGAGGAAGCATTAGTGAGCACTCTCTGTGTTCGTCCACTTAACCAATTACAGATCCACCTCACCGTAGTTTTGCCTAGCCCACATTGGACTAGTTTCCTTGCCAGAAGGCTGAAAGGAGACATGGTGTGGGTCATATACAAACATGTGATAGGGCGTCAAGGGGAGGAGGGAGCAGGCTTGTTTTCTGCTGCCCTGGAGACTAAGATGTGGAACAATGGCTTCAAACTACAGGAAAGGAGATTCCACCTGAACGTGAGAAAGAACTTCCTAACTGTGAGAGCCGTTCAGCAGTGGAACTCTCTGCCCTGGAGTATGGAGGAGGCTCCTCCTTTGGAGACTTTTAAACAGAGGCTGGATGGCCATCTGTCGGGGGTGCTTTGAATGCGATTTTCCTGCTTCTTGGCAGGGGGCTGGACTGGATGGCCTACGAGGTCTCTTCCAACTCTTATGATTCCGCAGGAGGCAGCAACCGGATTTAAAGTGGATTCATTCTCTAGAGATGTGTGCAGAAGGGGAACATGCATGAACGGCAGGAAGCGTAGCTGGATGGCTGGGAGAGAAGCCTGGTGCGCCCTTCAACGGACCCGGAAATCGGCCTTTTTATGCTCGCTTGCCTCTTTACCCTGCTGTAGCTCTAGAGCTCCGAAGCCAGTGTTTCGACGAAAGGGAAGGCAGGGGGCGGGAGTCGAAAGGGCAGGCGGAAAGAGCGCTGATTGGCTGAGCGGGCGGGGTGGGGGGGGGAAGCGGTTGTACTGCGCAGAGCGAGGGAGGCGTGTCTCTGGACTGCGGTTGGCGTCCCTCTGAGCATGCGCAGGGGGAGGGAGGCCTCTTTGGGGAGAAGAGGAAGAGGGAGGAGAAGGCGGAGAGGCAGCCACTGCATCCAGGGGCAGTTTGGAAATACCCCCCAAATAAGCAAGTATTGGTCTTTTATATAAGGAGCACTTACTAGGCATTTCCCTGTGCTGTTCTACAGAATGGGGCCTCTACTGATGTTGGCATTCACTGGGGATCCTGGGACCAAACCCCAGGGCCCACTGAAGACTCAGCCTGTTGACATCTGTATAATCTGTTTACCCAAAGGATCAGTGATTGGATATTGCATAGTGTTTCCCCCTTAGATATTAGATCTTTTCTCAACCTTGGTTTCCAATAAATGAGAAGCAACTCCTGACAAATTATCTAAAGAGCCAGGGATTTTATAGTTCCCCTTTGTGGACTTCAGAACTGCAATGGAAATGGGGGTCCACCCTCCCACCCCCGCTTCATGTAGAAGCTCCCCATTCGACTTGTACCAATTCAATTTCTTTCCTTTTATGTTGGCTCCTAGGTCCCTTCTACACTGCCCTATATATTACCCCAGATTACTTGCTTTAAACTGGATTATATGAGGGCACTACCTGATTTTTCTCTGTATTATTTTGCATTTTTTTCTATTGTATTTTTATGCTTTAATAATAATAATAATAACACTGTATTTGTACCCCGCTACCATCTCCCCGAGGGACTCGGTGCAGCTTACATGAGGCCGAGCCCAAATGCAACTATACAAGCAACAAAACAATATTTATCCTATTGTGATGTGATTTTTAAAGACTGGACTCTGCATGTTTTCCTCCTAAGCTCGGAATTCTTTACAGCCACATCACATGGCACTTCATGCTCTGCTTGCTAATGAGCTGATGCTCAACTTTTGGATCCTGTTTGTTTTTGGATGCTCTGCTTATTTTAGGGCAATTTTCCCTAACACCTTCCACACAGCCATATAACCCAATATCAAGGCAGATAATCCACAATATCTACTTTGAACTTGGTTATCTGAGTCCACACTGCTGTATAACTCAATTCAAAGCAGATCATGTGGGATTTTATGCAGCTGCGTGGAAGGGGCCTTAGTTGTCTAAAGGCCTCTAAAACCCCTTCCACAAGGCCGCTATATTTCAGGATCTGGTCTCAGATTATTTTATAACCTCAGATTAACTGGTAGTGAAGCCTCAGGGCCCTTCCAAACAGTCATATAACCCAGAAGATCAAGGCAGGAAATAACACATTTTCTGCTTTGAACTGGAATATATGACAGCGTGGACTCAGGTAAACCAGGGCCCTTTCACACCTCCCTATATCCCAGAATATCAAGGCAGAAATCCTACATTATCTGATTGTGGACTGGGGGGCCCTTCCACACAGCCCTATATCCCAGAATACCAAGGCAGGAAATCCCACAATATCTGCTTTGAACAGGGTTATCTGAGTCCACACTCAGATAATGTGGGACTCTTTCAGGAGTGAATTTCACTTCAGAAGGGCAGATTTCTATTACTTCCTGTGGTCTCACCTCCATTCTTAACTATAGGTCATTTGTAAGTTAGATGTTTGAATAGGGAGGGAGGTCCACAGCTGAGGGCCACCACTGAGAAGACCTTGTCTCTCCCCACCAGTCGCACCTATGAAGGTGGTGGGACCGAGAGATGTTAACCTCCATGATGGTTCATAGAGGGAGAGGCGTAAAGACAGGTAAGTAGGGCCAGGGCCATTAGAGGCTTTATAGGCCAAAGCCAGTACTTTGAATTGCACTTGGTAGCAAACCGGCAGCCTTCCCAATGCTATCCATAGATAGATAGACAGACACACACATATGGGTGGAGTTTCACTTCAAAAATACACCTGTTCTGACTTGCATACAAATTCAACTTAAGAACAATCCTACAGAACCTATCTTGTTCGTAACATGGGGACTTCCTGTATGTATTTTACTGAATGTTTTTATGATCAAGCGAGGGGAAGTGAGTAAGAAATAAAATTTATTATTATTTTATGCATCATGAAACATTGAATTAAGCAGGTGAACTAAATCCTCTCTGTTTCAGGAGCATCTTGGGGAGGTACCCCTCTCTGCCGGAGCTGCCATGTCTGGGATTGGGAACAAGCGCATGGCTGCAGAGGCCAGCCCCTCGGGGCTTCCAGAAAAGAAAGCCAGCGTGGAGGACTCTGGGACCACTGTAGAGACCATTAAGCTTGGGGGTGTCTCCTCAACGGTTTGTGTTTCTTTTTGCCCTGCCTTCCTTCCTATCTTAATGATCAACCTTCCCTCTCATGGTCCAGTGCCAGATAGCCCAGATCTTAGCTTATCACCTGAGAGAGAGTGAAGCCTAAGATGAGCCTGTGTTGGTGGTGTTGTGATTTCAGGAGGAATTAGACATCCGCACTCTCCAGACCAAAAATCGGAAGCTTGCTGAGATGCTGGACCAGCGACAAGCTATTGAAGATGAACTGCGTGAACACATTGAGAAGCTGGAACGACGGCAGGCCACCGATGATGCCTCGCTGTTGATTGTCAACCGCTACTGGAGTCAGGTCTGTTGTTTTATTCCTCTTGATGCTGAGATTCCATGTGGCAGTTACAGCGCATTGGATTAGGCCTTGGGAAATGCATTAAACCTACTGAGTCCCCTTAGACAAGTCACATACTCTCTGAGCCTGACTGACCTAACTTACATGAGTCAACAGTGTGAATCTAGGCTACATCAATAGCAGTATGGTGTTGGGATTGAGAAAATTCATAGTCCCACCCTATTATGCTTTGATCAGATCTCATCTATCCAGTTCTGGGAGTTGGAGGCCCAGACATCTGGAAGGCCGCAAGTTCGATACCTCTGCCCTGGGAGGAACACCTGAGGGAGCTGGGTATGGTTAGCTCGGAGAAAAGAAGGCTGAGAGGTGATATAAGAGCCATGTTTAAATATTTGAACAGATGTCACATTGAGAAGAGGGCAGGCTAGTTTTCTACTGTTCTAGAGACTAAAGCAGTGGATTCAAATTTCAGGAAGAGATGTGGTCTCCTCCAAATCTATTATTTTGTGATTCTATAAAGAGATTCCACTTAAACATTAGGAAAAATTTCCTGACAGAGCTATTTAACAATATGCTGTTTTGGGGTGGGGTGGAGTCTCTTTGGGTGTTTTTAGGCAGAAGCTGGATGATTATTTGTTGTGATGCTTTGATTATTGGACAGGTAGCATGTTGGTCTTGTGGTCCCTTGTGGTCTCTTCCACAAGATTCTTACAGAGTTGTTGGGAAGCTAAAATGGCGAGAAGAAGAGCCATGTATGCATTCTTCATTGAGCTCTTTGAAGGAAAAGTGGGGTGTTAATGTGACTGATAGGTACACGAAAGAAGGCCCATTCCTTTAGTTTTATTTATTCCTGTCTTCTTAAAAAGCAAACAAAGATTTTTTGGTTTGCTCCCTTCAGTTTGATGAGAACATCCGCATAATTTTGAAACGTTATGACTTGGACCAAAGTCTTGGAGACCTCCTCTCAGAACGCAAGGCCCTGGTGGTGCCAGAGCCAGAACCCGATTCAGACAGCAACCAGGAGCGCAAAGATGAGAGGGAGCGAGGTAAGTCTTCTGACTCCTTTGCAATTAGCATGTACTTTTTTCCTGTAATACAACACTACTTATTTAATTACTTTGTCTATATCTAATGGTCCTCCTAAATTGGACCCATGAATTGAAAAAAGGCCCATAATAATACAGGTTGAACATCCCTTATCTGGAATTCCGAAATCAAAAAGTAATTAAAAATTGTCCACCCGGGTGGTTGAGATAGTGGCACTTTTGATTTGCTGAAGGTTCAGTGTTCAAAAACTTTGTTTCAGGCTGAAAATGATAAAAACGTATGTGTAAGTTGAAGTTATATTTATAAGATGTATATGAAACATAAATGAATTTTGTGTTCAGATTTTGATTCCATCTCCAAGATATATAATTTTGTATGCATATACAGTACAAGAATTGCAAAATTTGAATTTCCCCCCCCCAAAATCCAAAACATTTCTGGTCCTAAGTGTTATGGATAAGGGATACTCAACCTGTAAAGGAATTTAAAGTACCATAAATAAGGTATCATACTAATGTATCAAAACATGTTGAGTGAGGTATCTATCTCAGCTTATTTTGCAAATCTTAAAAGAGCAGTAAGCTATCATGTAGTTTGACCTATCCTTGGTGGTGCCATTTGCTGTTCTGCGTCAGACTGCAGAATGGCTTGTGGTACTCTTGTATCATGCATTACTTTGGAGCTGAAAGAGGTGACATTTGAAGTGCACCTTGGGTTCTTGGGAGTCTGGGTCTGCATGCCCTCATGGCCTTGTTCTTGCACTGTCTTTTGCTAGGAGAGACATTTGAGCCAGCGTTCTCCTTTCTGGCCACTTTGGCCAGCAGCACCAGTGAAGAAATGGAATCTCAGCTACAGGAACGTGTGGAGTCTTCCCGCCGGGCTGTCACTCAGATTGTGACCATGTATGACAAACTTCAGGAGAGAGTGGATGTCCTGACCCAGAAGCTGAACAGCGGAGGTATGGCATGTTCTTTCCATCTGAGGTTAAACTTGGGAGCATTCAATTATGGGAATTTTTAAAAAAATCCATATGTTAATAGTTTCCATCACCCATTATTGCTGGCCACACGAACTGGGTCTGATGGAGGTTTAACAGTTACTGGAGAGATGTAATTTTCGCCGTGTTTGCCTTATACCCTTAGTCTCTCACTAGAACATAGAACTCCACATAATACTATTAGCGTCACAGCTGGGAGAATCTCAGCCATTGGTTGCTAACTGGTTTGTCCAAAAGTCAGACTGCCCATTACCCCTCTGCATGTAGAATGATTGCTTTTATTCCCACGCCCTCTACTACAGTGTTTGTTAATTATGATAGTCATTGTGGCCTAATCCTGTTCTAGAGCTGTTTTTGTGTGCTTTCTCTTTTCTATCTTGTCTTCAGTCCTAGGCCCCATTGACACTTATTATAATGGCTAGTTCAAATTATGGTCATATAATCCAGTTCAAAGAAATTAAATTGCATTATATGAGTCTACACTGACCTATTCAATCTATGCACAGTCTTGTCCCCATGTTTGGATGGGAGAACACTCTGTAAGGTGCTGAAGTCTTTTTATTATTTTATGTTAACTTTATTAAACACTCTGCAACTTGAGATTTATGAAAGATTACGGTGCATTATTCCCATTTTTTTGAAGTCTAAATATCTAGAAAAGTGGTTTTGTTTTTTGTTTTTTTAAAAAAGCAGAAAGCCACTGAGATTTCAAAAGTCACTGAATTGCTTAGCCCAGTGGTTCCCAAACTTTGATCCTTCAGGTGTATGGGACTTCCATTCTCAAGTGTCACAACTAAACTAGCTTGGAGTTTTGAGAGTTGAAGTCCAAAACCACCGGAGGATCAAAGCTTTTAACAACATTGGCTTAGCCAGTACAGTGTTCCCTCACTTATCGTTGGGGTTCTGTTCTAGGACCACCCGCGATAAGTGAAAATCCATGAAGTAGGGATGCCATATTAATTTTAATATTTATACATTATTTTATATATTTTACATATTATTTTCTTACCCGCGCTTCCTTACCCACCTCCCGGCCCATCCCAGGGGCACTGCCTGCTTCCCTGGCCTCCGCAGACCCCAGCAGAGCCTCCAGAGGAACGCAGGCAGCAGCAGGCTAGGGAGGCAGGCCTTCCCTGCTGCACCTCAGGCCGTTGCACTTATGGGTTCCCTGGCCTCCACAGGACATAAATATTTTATATTAATATTTTCAAAAACCTGCAAAACAGCGAGTCCACTAAAAGCGAACCACTGTACTCAATTTTGATGTCAGTATTGGATATTCGATAACCACTGGTAACATAACCAAATGGAGGATTATGACCCATTAGGATCATAACCTTTTAGATTATGTCCAATTAGGAAAAGCATAATCCTTATATGTTTTAAGAAAAGAAATGGTTTGTGTCTTTAACTTTCAGTCTTGATCAGTCTCTTCAACATTATATAGCTCTCCTTTATAACTGTCTACTTTCAACTGTCATCTTCAACTGTCATTTCTCAACTGTCATCTTTTAACTAACCAGTCCCTGATTTGGTCACATGGTCTGTGGCCCCTCTCACAACCTCAAGAACATAGAGTTAGGAAAAACTGCATACCAAAGAACACATAGACACTTAATATTGAAACATCACACCATACACAGACAATCATTAAACAGTGGAGGCTTGAGAAGGTTGCCTATTTCCAACAGTCAGACTTCTATTTGGTGTTTCCGATTCTCTTCTCCCTTTAGATATCTCTCTGATGGAAGAGGCTGTCCAAGAGCTGAATTCTTACCTAACATGTGAGAACAGGCGGCTTCAGGAACTGGCTGATTTGCTTCAGGAAAAACACCGCTCCATGTCTCAAGAGGTAGAAGAAAACGGATGTTGAAGAAATCATACAGTCAGCTGGGTTCTGGAGCAGAATATGTGCACTTGTGTTTTGATTGGATCAGGAAGGTGATAGACTACTATGAATGCTGCAGCACTTGGGCTGAGAGTGGATCATTTTGAAAGGACCTTCCCAAGGATAGAGACCTATAAACGCTATCCTGAATGTCTGCTTCAATTTTTTCTTGTTGTTAAAAAGAAGGAACGTGTGGTTTTGCATAGGGAAGATATAATGGTGGAGGTAAAGCAGATAGAAAATGAAACATGTCACCAGTGGAACCTATTGTAATAATCGTAATTCATAGAAAGGCTTTACATATCTTTCCTTCTAGGTATAGAAGACCTGTTTGAGACTAACTACAAAGTGATAGGGAAAGTCTTTATTTGAGGTGTCTGGCATCTGACAGTTGTATCAGGAATCCATAAAAGAAGAAGGTGGGAAATCTCTTGGGTTGGGAGGCAGTGCCATTGAAATGGTATCCCACTAGTACACCATGGTTGGGGACCAATGGTCTGCTCCTTTTCCTCAGTTACATCTTGCATAGAGTACTGCATTAAACTCTGTGTTTCTGAAAAGGCTTTTGAAAAAGCAGAAAATGTAAAATATAATGACCAGATTATTTTCCTATATGCATTTTTAACATGTTGCACTGGAGGTGCATCTACATTGTAGAATTAATGCAGTTTAAAGCCTCTTTAACTGCCATTGGTCAATTATATGAAATTATGAAAGTTGTTATTTTGCAAGGTCTTCAGCTTCCTTTGTCAAAGAGTGCTGGTGCTTCATGAAACTACAACTCCCAGAATTTCACAGCATTAAGTAATGGCAGTCAAAGTAATGTCAAATTGCGTTAATTCTACAATATAGGCTTTCTCAATTATTCTGGCTTCTAGTTTGTTCTTTTTTGTCATTCAGTGTGCTGGGATTTCCCCCCTGACTCTGTTTAATCCACGTATTTAATTTTAATAATTTTTAATAACAAGTATTAATGTTATGCGTTTTGTGTTTGGACAGTTGTCTTTGGCTACTTCTGTCCTTTTTGTTACTTTAGCTTCTTATACACCCAGTTTAATGATTAGCTGACCCTGTATGGTACCAGCATTTGGATTGTGGAATACTGTCGTATGGAGAAGTAAGGGAAATATAGTTGTTAACCAAAACAAAAATCTGTTCTTGCAGCGCTCGGGCTGAAATCACTGGCATGCAGAGACCTCAAGAGTGTTTGGCTTTAAAAAATTTGGGTCAATGAACAGATATTCAGAATTTGTTCATTGTTCTATGAGCAATTGTGAAGAATAATTTTAATATACAGTAGACTTTGGCCCGAATCACTGTTATTGAAAAGATTTGTAGTTTTCGAAATTTTTAAATTTTCGAAAACAGAAAGGGGAAGAGAGAGACCAAAAGACCAGTGAAATAAATTCAGAGAGATGATATTTTCGAAAAGAGTTGAGTCCACAAAATACAGGGAGATCTATGGCTTCTTTTTCTCTCCCTGGCAGAAGAAACCTCCTCCATTGTTTCTTGGAAAGGTACCTCCTCCTCCAGAGAGGGTCCTGGGAACTTACTTTCCCAGTGGCACTTGCATAGGGTGGCCATAGGGAACATAATGGGAGTAAGAAGTTTTTATCTCTGTGTGTCTCTCAGTCAATAAAAAGCCTGGTGATGTCCATGCTCTGATTGGCTGAAAATGGACACAAGTGGCAACTACAATTCTTGCAGTATGTCTTATTTAAAAATAATTCTTAAAAAAATCAGTAGATTGGTGAATTGTTTTGAAACTTGGCAGGCCTGCAGTTGTAAATGGGGCCTACAACTGAGCTAGGTTTCATGCAGCTAGCCCTTAAAATGGCTAAGGATTGAGCATTTAAAGTTTCCCATTGTGGACAATGGGCCGAATCTCTGCTGAATGAAAACGGAAACACCCCTCCCCTTTTGAATAACTTTCTGGTAAACAAAATGAGGGATCAGATGAAAATGGCATGCGTTTTGGCCCAAATGCACATGCTTAATATGAAGTTTGTGTTTTCCCTCTTGGCTTGTTTTGCTGCAGTTCTCCAAATTGCAAGGGAAAGTAGAGGCTGCAGAGTCTCGTGTGTCTGTGCTGGAGACCATGATAGATGACTTGCAATGGGACATTGATAAAATCCGTAAGCGGGAACAGCGCCTCAACAGGCACCTGGCAGATGTTTTGGAACGAGTAAGTAAAGCAGCTTTTGGTCCAGAAGTTGGAGCAATGCTGGAAAATATTGGACAGTTTTGTTGTTGGAAATCTTTTCCTAAAAGATTCAAAGTCCCTTTTTTTGCACACCTCCCTAAAAGTATGTCATGATAAAAGTGGAGCAACTTCTTTGAAGGATATTACCATTTTAAAAAGGGGAACCACAAAACACTATAAAGTGAGAACTGGTTAGAAGTGAAGGTAGAAAAACTTGGGGAAAAATCAGAAGTAAAAAAAAGAAGTAAGGAAAGAAAAAAGAAGAAATAAACCCCAGTAGCCATGGGGTGGGTGGTGAGAAAAGCTCTGGTGAGCCAGGAGTAATATCATTGTGTATCTTTTGCCTTGTAGACCTGCCATAGCTATTCAGAGTAGGTTAGATTATTGAAGGACATTTTGCTAAACTCTGTTCTTAAATAGAATCATTCCAATTGCAAGCCAATCAGTTTGTTGTTCTTTCAAATTGACTTATGGCGACTCGATCACATAGTGTTCCAAAAGTAAGAGCTTGTCCAAGGTCACTCAGTGGAGTGGAGATTCAAACTCCTTGTCGCCCAGTGCTTAAATTATTACACAACATTGGATCAGCACATGTGACAAACCCCACACGACTGCACAAAAATCACAGATGGTGCGACCAGGTTCAGATATCAACACTCCGCAGAACATATTTTCCTTTTTTAACATTGTAAATTATGCTTTAAAGGCAAACTTCGACCCATCATGACTCTGATGTTAGCCTATCATGGTGTCTTGGCAGAATATATTCAGAGGGAGTTGCCCTCCCCTTCCTCTGAGAAGATATGACTTGCTGAGGATTGATCAGTGAGTTTCTATGGCTGATCAAGGATTGAAACTCAGCTCTCCAGTGTCACAGTTAATATTTAAAACACTTCACAGTATCTTTGTCCAATATTCAAACCACTACACCAGTGGTTCTCAACCTGTGGTCCCCAGATGTTTTGGCCTTCCTAGGAATCCTAACATATGGTAAACTAGCTGGTATTTCTGGGAGTTGTAGGCCAAAACACCAGGGGACCCACAGGCTGAGGACAAATGCACTAAACCAATATAAATGTAGTGCACCAATAAATCAGTAACCTGGCACAAATCAGGCTAACAGTGTGGAATGGGTGGTGCCTCTGTCAGGTGGGTTTTAGAGTCCTTGAAAAGAACTTTGATGTTGCAATTGGGCATTTTGGTTAGGATATGCTCTAATCGTATTCTATACAGTGTGTTTCAATATATCTGTTTGTTTAGTTTTAAAAAGTGTCATCTTTGCAGGTGAACTCAAAAGGCTACAAGGTATATGGTGCAGGCAGCAACCTCTATGGTGGGACTATCACCATCAACTCTCGAAAGGTAAACTAGGAGACTCTGGGAACTTGCAAATGAAATCAGCAATAATAGGTGTGAAAGGGAATAAAAATGGTGAGCTTTGACTCCAAATTCCTGCTTTTCCTGTTATTTATAGTTTGAGGAGATGAATGCTGAACTGGAGGAAAATCAGGAGCTGGCCCAGAATCGCTTGAGTGAGCTGGACAAATTGCGTCAAGATCTTGAGGAGGTGACAACTCAGAATGACAAGTTAAAGGTATAAACCAGCAAACGTTTCCCAAATTCTTCAAAATGCTTTTTTTTTTTTGTACTAGACAAATGTTCGAGATTCACTTAATTTATGCATTTGGAAAGAATGATGTTTGTAAAACTTAAGACTTTGTGGGCAATATAGTAAAAGCTCCCTGGTGGCGCAGCGGGTTAAATCACTGAACTGCTGAACTTGCTGGCTAAAAGGTCGGCAGTGCGAAGCCGTGGAGTGGGGTGGGCTCTCACTGTTAGCCCCAGCTTCTGCCAGCCTAGCAGTTCGAAAACATGAAAATGTGAGTAGATCAACAGGTACTGCTTCAGCGGGATTGCTAACGGTGCTTCATGCAGTCATTCTGGCCACATTACCTTGTCTACAGACAACGCCAGATCTTCGGCTGAGAAATGGAAATGAACTCCACCCCCCAGAGTCGGACATGACTAGATTTAATGTCAGGAGAAACCTTTCCCTTTTATAGCAAAAGCAGAGAAGATGGAGCCCCGTCATTTTTTGGACTTGAAGGCACACGTGTATATAAATACACATGCACAAAGCTAAATGCCAGATCTTGTAAGTGAAACAGTGACAGCTCTAGTTAGTACTTGGATGGGAGACTGCCAATGAATACCAGGTGCTGTAGGTTAGAGTAGCTTGGAAGATGCTACACATTTTTTCTCTGCCAACTCAACACTATTCCTGATCAGAGCACCTGACTTTCCTTAATGTATAAATATGATGATGATGATGATGATGATGATGATGATGATGATGATGTCTGTGTCCTGTGTGATGGGCCATCTGCCATACCATTTGGACCAAATTTATTCACCCCTTGCTGAATGGAGGGCTAATTCTACAATTGGCCCTCCATATCCATAGAGTTGGAGTCCCCAGTGGCGCTGCATCTTAAACCACTGAGCTACTAAACTTGCTGACCGAAAGGTTGGCAGTTCAAATCCAAGGAGTGGGGTGAACTCCCACAGTTAGGCCCAGCTTCTGCCAACATAGCAGTTCAAAAACATGCAAATGTTAGTAAATTAATAGGCACTGCTCAGGCAAGAAAGTAATGGAGCTCCATGCAATCATGCTGGCTACAAGACCTTGGAGGTGTCTATAGACAACGTCATCTCTTTGGCCTAGAAATGAAGATGATCACCACCGCCCAGAGTTGGATATGACTAGACCTAATGTCAAAGGGAAATCTTTACCTTTACCTTATCCACAGAGTAAACTATCCATGACTTGAAAATATTCAAGGTAACGTTGGGATTCAGTACAATTTTACTTCTACTGTTTGCCCTCTGTATTTACAGATTCTTTCATCCATAGCTTTAAAATGCTCACCTCAAAACAAAATTCAAAAAGCAAACTTTGATTTTGTTATTTTATATAAAGGGCATCATTTTTCTGTGTCATTTAATATAATGGGATTTGAGCATCCATGGATGTTGGTATCCATGGGAGAAGTGAGGGGACCTAGAACCAAACCTTAGTTGATACAAAGAACTGCAATCTTAGTTCTTTCCCTTTGAGCGCCAGTTTCCTCACAGCTCCCTTTTGTGTCATCATCCAGGTAGATCTGAGAAGGGCAGTAGAAGAGGTGGTGAAGGACACACCCGAATACCGCTGCATGCAGTCCCAGTTCTCCGTTCTTTACAATGAGAGTCTGCAATTGAAATCGCAGCTCGACGAGGCTCGTACTCTGCTTCACGGCACCCGAGGTACCCATCAGCGTCAGGTGGAGCTCATTGAGGTAAAACTTACTCCCATTGTTCTGATCACTTTTGACTTCGATCCAGATGCTTGTGGATTTCAATGGTTTCTCTATGTAGTCTGACATGGTGGTTGTTAGAGTGGTCCAGCATTTCTGTGTTCTCAAATAATATGCTGTGCCCAGGTTGGTTCATCAGGTGTTCATCAGGGCCAGCTAACACCTTCCCCCCAGGCAGGAAGCACCTAGGCTTTGAAGCTGCAGGGCCATTAAATACTAATCAAGGTGGCCAGTTGCAACTTTCACACTTGTCTCCAACAGGCAAGAGTTCTTTCTCCCACACTGGGCATTCCACAGATACATAAACCCCATTTGCCTAGTTTCCAGCAGACCTCACAACCTCTGAGGATGCCTGCCATAGATGTGGGTGAAATGTTAAGAGAAAATGCTTCTGGAACATAGCCATACAGCCCGGAAAACTCACAGCAACCCAGTGATTCTGGCCATGAAAGCCGTCGACAGCAGAGTGGACAGTGTTTAGTATGCACCTGTGATACTAGGTCACCAGGTGTCAGTGGTGTCCAGAAGTGCCTTCGCACAATTAAAGCTTGTGCACTAGCTGTGCCTGTACCTTGAGATGCCAGATCTCACCATGGCAGTCCACATCTTAATTACATCCTGTCTAGATTTCTGCAAGGTGATCTACATGGGGCTGGCGTTGAAGACTGTTTGGAAGCTCAGCTGGTCCAGAGATCAGTAGCCAGATTGCTAACTGGGGCTCCGCACAGGGAGAGAACTACCTCCAGGCTACTGCACTTCTTCTGGCTACCAGTTTGTTTCAAGGCAAAATTCAAAGTGCTGGTCATTACCTTTAAAGCCCTAAACAGTTCAGGCCGAGACTATCTGGCTGTCTATATTTCTGCATACAAATCTGCCCAGGCACTGTGATTGGCAGATGGGGCCCTGCTCTTGGTCCCACTCCTGTCTTAAGCTTGGCTGGTGGGAATGACAGAAGGGGCCTTCTCTGTGATTGCCCCCGTCCTGTGAAACTCTCTTCCTAAAGAAATCAGAATGGGTCCCTCGCTGCTCTCTTTTAAGAAATAATTGAAGTCCTTTTTATTCTCTCAAGTATATAGAGAGGAGGACATATAAACATCAGGCATAACAAAATGGAAATAAATATGGAAATGGCTTATTACTCTGGCTGTTAAATTTCATGTTTTAATTCTCTATTAGTTCCAATTTTAAGTCTTGTCCCAAAATGTTCATTTGTTACATCGTAATTTTTTAGTTATGCGATTCCTAATTTGTTGCAATGTCTCACTATTGCTTGATTTTTTGAAATGTACTTTATTGGATTTATCTTTGTTTTATTTTTGCTTGCACTTTATGGGCTTGAATATTTGCCGCTGTTTGCTGTGAGCCGCCCTGAATACTCATGGGAGGATAGGGGAGGATATAAATAAAGTTCATTATCATCATCATCATTATTATAATTATTATTATTTATAAAGAGAGCATATTCCCACGTTCAGATTTGCATGTGCACAACATTAGTTGGGCACAAAACAGATTTTGCTTTTTTCTCTTGCCAGAGGGATGAAGTCAGCCTGCATAAGAAATTGCGAACTGAGGTTATCCAGCTGGAAGACACTCTTGCTCAGGTCCGCAAGGAATATGAAATGTTGCGGATTGAATTTGAGCAGACACTTGCAGCCAATGAACAAGCAGGTATTTTGTGCTAAGTTCTGTACAGGCAGTCTCTGAGTTACATACATCCAACTTACATCTGACTCTTCGTTACAAACAGAGGATGAGGCAAGAAAAAGTGAGAGAAATCTACTCCTGGAAGAGTTATCATGGGAAAAATCTGAACCAATAAGCCACTTCTACCCTGTCCATCTCTTTCTTAGCTTCCCACAGAATACTAAGCCCACTCCCAAACACTTTGGAATGCAACAGGTGGTACGTTACAGCAATTCTTTTTTTGCCAAGGAAGTCTACGTCCCCCCCACCTCAGACGGAACAGGACATTTTGTGGGGAAGGTTCTTGTAGCCTTAGCCAAAACGTTCTGGCATTTCAATCCTCCGAGCCCTGGCTCTGCCAGGCTACTGCTTTTGGTATCTTCTTGAACTCTTCACTTCTGGTATGAAGCAGGAATGACTCCTCAGTGGTTGGACACAATAGGCCATCCATAGTCTGATGGAGGATGGGAGTTCCTGAGTTCAAATGCACACAGAAAGGTTTTGGTGTAATGTAGCTGATCTAGTGTGATTGAAAAGATGTTATAAGAAATTGGGAGCAGGCTTTTCTGCTGCGCTGAATACTAGGACTCAGAGCAATGGGTTCGAATTACAGGAAAGGAGATTCCACCTGAACATTAGGAAGAATTTCCTGACCATAAGAGCTGCTCAGCAGTGGAACTCTGCATTGGAGTGCAATGGAGGTTCCTTCTTTGAAGGCTTTTTGTTGGGTTTCATCCCTGGACTGCACAAGTCTCTTGGGTCATCAGGTTTTCATATCTCAATGAGTAGCTAGACTAGAGTTAGAATTAACCTGAGGGATTCCTGTCCCCACTTTACCATGCATGTTTGAGTAAAGGCTCACTTTACTATGCATGAGTAAAGGGTTTGTCTTTACTCCTCCTGCTAGCCACTGTCGCTTCCCCTTTGAATATGTAGGAATAGAATTCTATGAGGGAACTTCCTCCTTTAAGTTTTATTGTCCTGGGTTGACCATATGGTCTCCGCCATTGTTCCCTTCTGCTTTTTCTTTCTTGTGGCGAGGACACATTTTGCTCTCTCTTTAGGCAAAATGTAGCTGCATGGATTTTTTTTTACTTTTTACCTTTCTTAGAAGACGAGATTTAGTAAGCTCAAGACATTTTCTATCTAGAATGTATTTCTTTTACTTCAATAAATATTTTGAAACCTAAAGTCCTGACTCTGCAATCCTGTGAGATCCTAAGAATAGAAGCTTATCCCAGTTTCACCACATGTAAGTTTCTGCTGGTTATGAAGTTTACTTCTGGTACTTTCCTGTATTTATGGTGGAATCATCCAAGTAAGGGTTATTTTGAGCATAACTTCAACTAGTCCAGCGAGAAGCAGCCAGATTGCTCACCGGAGCGGCGTACAGGGAGCACACCACCCCCCTGTTGCGTCAGCTCCACTGGCTGCCGATCCAATTCCGAGCACAATTCAAAGTGCTGGTTTTGACCTACAAAACCCTATACGGTTCCGGCCCAGTGTATTGTCCGAACGGATCTCCCTCTACATCCCACCTCGAAGTTTAAGATCTTCTGGGGAGGCCCTGCTCTCGACCCCGCCAGTGGCACAAGTGAGGCTGGTGGGGACGAGGAGCAGGGCCTTCTCAGTGGTGGCCCCCCACCTGTGGAACTCACTCCCCGGGGAGATCAGATCGGCGACTTCCCTTCTAGCGTTTAGGAAAAAACTAAAGACCTGGATGTGGGACCAAGCTTTTGGTCATGCTGACAACTAACTAAAGGACCTGTCGATAGACAAGGACAATGGAATGGAATGGATATATGGACTCTGATATATGGACTCTGACATGAGATTGTTTTTATGATTTTATTAGGTATTGATGTTTTATTTTAATTGTTGAATTGTTATATTTTGTATTGTTTGTTGTGTGATTTGGGCATCTAATTGTGCCTTCCCTGTAAGCCGCCCTGAGTCCCCCCCGGGGTGAGAAGGGCGGGGTATAAGTAGATGAAATAAATAAATAAATAACAGCTCAGATTTCCCAACAAAGGTTAAACAGAGGATGGATGACCATCTGCCAGGAGTGCTTTGATTGTTCTTTTCCTGCATGGCAGAATGGAGTTGGACTGCATGGCCTGTGTGGTTTCCTCCAACTCTTATGATTCTGTGATTTTTTATATTAAAAAAATAGGTCCCATTAATCGTGAGATGCGGCACCTCATTAGCAGTCTCCAGAACCACAACCACCAGTTGAAAGGAGAAGTGTTGCGATACAAACGGAAGCTGAGGGAGGCTCAGTCTGACTTGAGCAAGGTAAGGAAGGGGAAAGAATAAAGGGGACATATCAAAAAACAGAAGCAAGACTTGTATTTCGAAGTATGTATGTGTTGGGAAAAGGAAGCAGGTGTATTCAGGGAGGTCATATGCTTTTAAAGATATTGATTTATTTCACAGTACAAATGGAGTATCGCATTCCCAAATCTTGGATTTAGGTTATTTTGGATTTTAGAATATTTGTATTTGCATATAACTGTATCATGAAATATTATAGATGTGGGACCCAAGTCTAAATGTGCCATTTTTTTATGTTTCTTATATATCTTATACACATAGTTGGAAGGTTATGCACAATATTTAAAATAATTTTATGCCTGAAACACATTTTTTTATTATTACATTGAACCACCAGAAAACAAATGTATCTCAGGCACCCATGTGGACAATTTTGGATTCTGGATTATTTTGGAATTCCATATAGGCGATGCTCAACCTATTTTTTATACGAGTTTTCATTTGGAAAGAAACAAACCTCAAAGCAGTTCACAATAAAAACAGACACTAAAACCAAAAGAATGAAGTAACAGAATAAGAAAGATCACTAAAGGCCACTTGTTGAAAACCAGAGATTGTGTTAACAGTTAGTAAAAAAAAAAAAAAAGACCTGTCTTCAGTTGGGAGTCAAAACAGCCAACATGGGGATTCTAATTATAATGGGGAAGCCATTCTGCCTTGAAAGACCCCTAAAAATGGTATAAAGGATTATTATTATTATTATTATTATTATTATTATTATTATTAGGTGGCTTAGGAAGAGCATTGCCAGGGAATCCTTTTTTTAAAAAAAAGGAAGTGTATCTAATAGAAATGTATGCCTTAAGCAAATGTAAATTTGTGATAAGGTTTGGCTCTCAAGGTCCAGTGGATGGTCAACACTGCTGTCCACTAGCCTCTGAGAGAGCATTAGAAGACAAATTAATACATTCCTCTCCAGACCCGGTCCCGCAGTGGGAGTGCCCTTCTCCACTCTCAGTCAAGTACTGAAGAGGCCAAAGAAGAACCTCCTGAAATCAAACAAGAACCAGACGATCCTTCCTCGCATCCTGTAGCCTCCAAGGGACCCCCTGAAGATGCCCCTGAAACCAAGGCGAGGAGAGATGAAGAGGAGCGAGAGCGCGAAAGACGGGAAAAGGAGAGGGAGCGGGAAAAGGAGAAAGAGAAGGAGAAGGAGAGAGAGCGAGAAAAAGAGAAGGAAAAGGAAAGAGAGCGAGAAAAGCAAAAGCAGAAGGAATCGGAGAAGGAGAGGGAATCGGGCAAAGAGAAGGACAAAGGAAAGCATGACGATGGAAGGAAAAAGGAAGCAGAATTGATCAAGCAGTTGAAGGCTGATCTTAAGTAAGATAATTGTATTTCCTTTGGAGTAGCAATGTCCTGTTCCTGTGACATAAAATAGTACCACAGGCTAACACACATTTTGGTGTCCTGTTGGAGGTTAACCCTGTTTCTGGGTATATTTGATCCCCTGATTCCAAAAATGATACCAATTTTCCCTTATCAGTTCTAGTTTGTGAGGTACAGAACAAATGCAAAAGACCAGTCGCCATCTGCTTGCGCGTAGAAAATCATGATAACCATATTTAAGAAACTAGAGCTGATGTGGTCTATCTAAAAAGCAAGACACCAAGGAATTGTTTTTGTTGGGCTGTGTTATACTTGATCCTTTGATCTTGAAAAGTTACCAGTATATTGAGAGTATATACTCGAGTATAGGCTGAAAAATCCCCTCTCGGCTTATAGTCGAGTCAAGGTTATTTATTATTTTACTCTGTTACTATTATTATTTTATTACATTTATTATTTTACTCTATTTATTATTATAAATAATAAATAATATAAATATTATTATAATATTTATATTATTTTACTCTATTATCATTATTATTACATTTATTATTTTGCTCGATTATTACTGATACTATTCAGTTGGTGCATGTGTAAATGAGATGGTCCCTTGTGTAAGCTGCTTCCAAAACATCTAAGACCTGAAAGATCAAAACCCATATCATGATGGACTTGGAAATGAAGTGGGTGTTTGTGAAGATTATAAGGCATTGGTAGGATGGGCTTTTATCACTCACCCTATGCCAGGGAGCATCTACATTGTAGAATTAATGCAGTTTGACATTACTTTAACTGCTATGGCTCGAAACTGTGTAGTTTTGCAAGATCTTTAACTTTCTCTGCCAAAATGTTCTAGTGCTACAAACTACAAATCCATTGCATTGAGCCGTGGCAGTTAAAGTGTCTAATTTATTTATTTATTATCTCAGTAGTTAACCGAGGGTACAGTAGTACTGTATTTAAAAAAAACACAAAGTTTAAAAAACACAAAGTTTAAAAAACTTGGCATTATACTAAAAGTGTCTACTTGTATTCATTCTACAGTGTAGATGCACCCCTAGGTAGAAGTCTCGCATGCCTATTCTAAGTAAACAAATTGTTAACAAGTTGTAGTGCTGTAGAAAAAATATGAGTCAATAACCAGGCTCATGTGATGGTGAACTGGTATGTTGCTTTTTGTATTCTGTCTTGGGCTTGTCGCATCCCCAGAAATTAACTATTGTTTGTTAGCCAGCTTCAAGACACAATGGGGAGGCATAGCTGCTCATCTTGACAACAGAGCAAGAGAAAGAAGCATTTAACTATGTTGTGGCTCACCTCAAGCCGAAAGGAGAGACGGGTAATAAATAAAAATTAGAGTGAAGATGATGATCATGATACGTGAAAGTAGACAGTTTTTGTTAGCCAGTTTTGAGGGTGGAAAATAGGTTGCTGCTTCTTTTCCCCTGGGAACAGTAACCCTCTCATTTGTTGAAATTTTCAGTGAGAGAGAAATATTTCCCCGAGATGATCCTGTTCTGATCACAAGAGAGCAGTATTGATCTGTTTAGCTTCAGTGATACATAATATAGGATAGAAGTTTCTGGTTTTCTCCCAGTTGCCCCTCATGATGTTTCAAGAGACGCTGGTGCTAACATGCTTCAGCTGTAATGTGATAGGAGAGTAGTTGTGGATTTGGATGGTGTCCTATTTTGTCGTTTGAAAAATGTCTTTTCTTTCACTCCACTTAGGAAGGCTCAAGAAAGCCAGAAAGAAATGAAGTTGCTGCTGGATATGTACCGCTCTGCCCCCAAAGAGCAAAGAGATAAGGTTCAATTGATGGCTGCTGAAAAGAAGGCCAAAGCTGAGGTATACATGCTTCCTGTGGTGTATTTTATGCATTAAATTATTTATATTGTCTCTGCCAGATATAGGAACAAAGAAATATAGGAAGATGCTTTAGACCAGTGGTGGTGAATGCATGCTCGGGGGGGGGGGGCACTCAGGACCCTCTCTGAGGGCACCTGCTGCCATCACCCCAGCACACAGCCTTTGCTGCCTCACTTCAGGATTTTCCTTCATCCCTATCTTTCTAAATCTTCCCTCCAGATAAATCCCCAGTTGGAGTGTGGGGAAGCATCAGACAAAGGCTAAATCCCTTGTAAAACTACAACCCCAAGGACTAATTCCTAGCCTTATGCCAGGGGGGCCAGGCTGCACACATTCTGCTCCCAGAGCCCCTTCCTTCATCCCCGCTGCTCAGATGCTGTACTTTTAAGAGTTCTGCCAGAGAAGGAGGTGGGAACACCGCTATAGGAAGCACTGAGGAAGAAAGTATTGTCGAACTGCATTCATTCAATAATGTAGATGCACCCTTTTACTCCTGCTTTTCCCTTCTCCTCAGCTCCTAGTGGAGAATAACTTGGGAATCTAGGGGGGCATGCATTCCAACCCCATTTTGTATGCAGGAAAAACACAATCAAAACACCCTAAACAGATGGCTATCCAGCCTTTGATAATAATAATAATAATAATAATAATAATAATAGTAATAGTAATAGTAATAGTAATAGTAATAGCAGCAACAACCCCAGAGGCCATGTGGTCCAGTCCCCTTCCACCATGTAGGAAGAGCACAATCAAAACATCCCAAACAGATGGCCATCCAGCCTTTGTTGTAATAATAATAAAATAGTAATAATAATAGCAGCAGCAACCCCAGAGGCCATGCTATTCAACCCCCTTCCACCATGCAGGAAAAGCCCAATCAATGCACCCCAAACTGATGGAGGAGTGTTTAGTTTTTAATTCAGTTTCTTCATTTGTAAATTCATTCTCCTTTTTTGCACAATTAATTCTTAGTTGGAAGAGTTAAGGCAACGAGTAAGAGACCTTGAGGACAAGGAGAAGAAAGAAAGCAAAAAAATGGCTGACGAGGATGCCCTACGGAAGATCCGAGCAGTGGAGGAGCAGATAGAATACTTACAGAAGAAACTAGCCATGGCTAAGCAGGTGAGGAACATCTATCAGAAAGCTTACATGTAATCTGGGTAAAATTTAAAGATTTCAAAGTTGATATACATTCAACAAATATAAAGAAATAAGCCGATTTTAGCTTGTGCCTTTTATCTGCATTTATCAGTGAAATTTAACCTACATTTTATCTTTGTGTATCTTGTATTTAATAGTATTTTATCTCTTTGTTTTAATGATTTACCCTCAAGTTGCAAGAAGAGATGGGCAATAAATGTAATAATAATAATAAAATAATAATAATAATAATAATAATAATAATAATTGATGATGATGATGATGATTAATATTGTAAAATTAGTATAAGTACACAATCTATACATAGCAAAGAAAGTGGTGTTGAGTAAGTTTAGAAAAGAAAGTCAGAAAGAGATTAAATCTAGTTCCCCTTCACTTTCCCATTCTTGTCATGCACTAAGAAAAAGGTCAGACAAACAAAAATCCAAACAAAAATGTAAGATTAAATTTTTTTATTTACTGACAGAACTTGTGTAAGATACTCAACACCACTTTCTTTGGTATTCAAACCAGGGATCACACAGTCTTGTATTTTTAGAGGTGCTTTAATTCAAACAGATTAAAGCAATCCCTGGTGTAATGACCACCTATATTTCCCAACATTTACAGGAAGAAGAAGCACTCCTTTCCGAAATGGACGTGACGGGCCAAGCCTTTGAGGACATGCAAGAGCAGAATATTCGCCTGATGCAGCAGTTGAGGGAGAAGGACGATGCCAACTTCAAGCTCATGTCAGAACGCATCAAATCCAACCAGATCCACAAACTTTTGAAGGAGGAGAAAGAGGAGTTGGCGGACCAAGTCCTTACCTTGAAGACACAGGTGAGCGAGAAGAGAAAGAACTGATTCTTGGGATGGCAGGGAGGAGCAATCCACTATGATTTTCCCACTTCCAAGCTAAGTGGTATTCTTTCCCTATCTTTTCTTCTTTCAGGTGGATGCCCAGTTACAAGTTGTACGCAAACTGGAAGAAAAGGAACATCTCCTTCAGAGCAACATTGGCACTGGAGAAAAGGAGTTGGGCTTGCGGACCCAGGCCCTAGAGATGAACAAACGTAAGGTAAGCGTAAGGCATTGGCCATGGTACCTGCGTTCTTGCCTCTAGCCCTACATTTCAACCCGAGGCACCTTCTTTCAGCTGTAACCTACTTTACAGGGTTGATGTGATAATAAAATGAAGGAGGTGACAATATGCAGTGCCTTGAGCTTATATTGGAGCAAAGTATAGGTTTTTGTTAAAAAAAACAACACCAATCATTATCATCATCATTGTTACTTATACAATTAAAACTTGTGTGCCAGTTGCACCCATACCTTGGGAAATCAGACTTGGCCACGGTGGTCTGTGTGCTGGTTACATCTCGTATTGACTACTGCAATGTGCTCTATATGGGGTTGCCTTTGAAGACTGTTTGGCATCTTCATCTAGTCCAGTGTACGGCAGCCAGATTGCTAACAGGAGCGGCATATAGGGAGCTCACAACCCCTTGTTGCACCAGGCCAATGGCTGCTGGTTTGCTACCAAGCACAATTCAAAGTGCTGGCGTTGGCCTATAAAGCCCTGAACCACCCCGGCCAAACTTACTTGCCCAAACGCATCTCCTTCTATGAACCATCATGGGGGTTAAGATCTTCTGGGGAGGTCCTGCTCTCTGTCCTACCACCTTCACAGGCGCGATTGGTGGGGACGAGAGACAGGGCCTTATAAGTGGTGGCCCCTTGGCTGTGGAACTCCCTCCATAGTCGGATTCGATCGGCTTCTTCCCTCCTGTCATTTTGCAAACAAGTGAAAACTTGGCTTTGGGAGCAAGCCTTTGGCCCAGCATCTGTGCCATACAGTTGGAATTGACCCTGGATTGATGAATATGATTATTTGATTATCTGGCTTTGGATCTATGCACAATCGTTCACTAATGTTTACATATGATTAGTGTTGTTTAAAATTGTTGTTTGATTGATTTTAATTGTTGTTTGGGTATAGAATAATGCTGATTATGCAAACCGCCCTTCGTCTCCCTTTTAAGTCCTGTTTTGCCTTCGTGTTGCTATGAGATTGGATTGGAAGGAGTTATAATACAAAAACAGATTGGAGGCTATATGTAAATTGAAACAAACTGAATTTCCTTTCCCTATTTGCTACTGAAAAGTATTTGTGAAAAGGAAATCCCATAAGCTTCTACAGCCCTGTTTTTAACTCAAAATGTGACTGCTGTTGTTTACTATATAGATATTAGATGTGACTCCTATTGCTTTACCATCTATATAACTATAATGTCACTATCTATATTTTTCTACCATCTATATAACTATCTATCTATATAACTCCAACTGGACTATCTATTTATCTTCGACTGGACATGAATTCCTGTGCACTTTCTATCCCTCTTTTTCCTTCCACACCTAGACTCCCAACTGATCTATCTGCCTAACTGTAAAATAAATGCCATTCTGGAACCGAGGCTTGAGCTCCTTCCCCCTCCCATATACTTAAAGGCACAGGCAACAAATTATAGATTCTATCTCTGGAGGCAGGACAAGTCCCTTTTGGGGTGAGAAGGGCTGGATATAAATGTCGTAAATAAATAAATAAATAATACCCCACTATTTCTCTCCAATAAAGAGACCCAAAGGGTTTCCAGTAAACCCTATACAATACAATTTAACCCCCCAAAAATTCACATAATCAGAAATAATCAGGAATGGGCAAAGATATGGAGTATGAGATTATTTAAAAAGATGTTTATAATAATTAAAAATTACTATAAAACAGTATGGAGGTGGCATCTAACTCCCATTAGATTAAATAAGATTGATAAAAAATACTCAAATCAGTGTTAGAGAGACTGTCAGGAAACAGGGACATACCTTCATATGTGGTGGTCATGTAAAATTTTCCAAAAATGTTGGGAAAGCATATTCAAAAAAATTAGAGCAATAATAAAAATAGAGATTGAGATTACACCRAAAATAGCATTATTATTATTATTTTATTATTTAAAAGTTTTGTATACCGGCCTTCTCACCTCTCTTGAGGGACTCAGACCGGTTTCCAACCATAATATAACATACAATCAATAAAACATCATAATACATATTACAATAAAACATTAAAACAGCAATTACAATCAATAACTATAATGGTCAGTCGTCACACTAAAATCGTTGCTCATCATCCTCCATCCATATCTCAGGGGTGTTGGCTCACTCGTTGAATGCCTGTCTCCATAACCAAGTCTTCACCTGTTTCCTAAATGTCAGGATAGACGAGGCAGTTCTGATCTCCAGTGGGAAAGAGTTCCAGAGTCGAGGGGCCACCACCGAGAAGGCCCTGTCCCTCGTCCCCACCAGACGCGCTTGCGAGGTCGGTGGGACCGAGAGCAGGGCCTCTCCAGATGATCTTAATAATTGTATTGTCATGTATATTACATATACATGGCAATACAATTCCCTCACAAGAGGAGAAAGAATTGTTTCTAACTTGATAACAGCAGCTAAATTGCTCATAGCAAAAACTGAAAAGAAAAAAAAATTCAATTCGAAGAATGATATAGGGAAATTTGGAATATAGCTATTAATTATAAGTTAACTTGCAATATTAAAATTAAAAGGGGAATATGGAAACAAACAGATTTTTGGGAAATATGACAAAAAATTATTGAGTATTTTTTTTAATGAGGGAAAGGCATATAAACCAGCAAGAGAAGCAATGAAATTTTGGAATTGTGAAATTCCAAGACGATGGAACGGATGAGGATTTGAACAAGAGGATATAGTTTTTAAAATGTTTATTGTTCATTGTTTTTATGATTTTAAATGTATTGTAATGTTTCTTTTTTGCTTTTTATCAATGTATGTATTTTATATATGGCATTGAATTGTGCCGACTCTGTACGCCGCCCTGAGTCGCCTTTGGGCTGATATGGGTGGGATAGAAATAGCGTAAATAATAATAAATATATAAACAAATAAATAACATGAGTAGGTTGGTCCTGGTGAAGGGGGCACAAACTAAGGGGAAGGGGAAGAGGGGAAAAATTGTATAATAATAATTATAAAGAAATAAAACATATATAAGTAAATAAAAGGTGTGTGGTAGAGGTATACTTAGTATAAGTTGTAATGGAAAGTTTAAAAAATGATAAGAAATATGCTTAAATATGTTTTTGAATTTTTTTTACTGTTAGATAGTATATAATATGACATACGCTTCTGTCTAAGATGTTGTAAAAACAGGGAAGAATGTATGCTTATACATTTTGTTTGATGAATTTATAAATAAAATTTAAAAAAGGAAAAAATCACATACAATTAAATATTAGCAGTATGAAAATGAAATTAAAACTCTTCAAACCAATTAAAACCTATTCATAGCTCAAGCCACACGACCCCCTACTTTGATCTTGAAAAACTTGACTTGAGCTTGAAAATGAAATGCGGCTTTCTTTTAAAAGTTTATCCCTTATCTTTTCTGCAAGTTTTAAGGAATCTGTGAATAATATGAAGACAAAACAAGAAAACATCATTACCACACAATGTAATAAAACCAGAAGTGGGCAACATGTAATGTCAATAAAAGAAATGAGAAGAGGGACTACAGAGTAGATGAATGTTTGTTCTAAAATTGAAAGCAGATTTCACTCAAAGGGCGGATGGTGCTTGTAGCTGAAAAGATGGGTAGAAAGATACACTTGTAAGACTTCTTTTCTCTCTGTTGCAGTGGCTCTGTGATCCCTTTTGAACATTTGTTTCATCCTTAATAGGGGAAAGATGGTTATTTTATTTGATCTTCCTCCAGGGGGAAACACTGAGAAAGCCCACATTCTTCTGTCATTAGGACACGAAGCCAGATTGCAAACCCTCTGGAGTGCGTAGATGTGTAGAAAAGAGAAAAAAAAACACTGGTGACAAGAGCAGTTTGATGCAGACCAGAAAGGGCAGTGGATGCAAGGAAATACTGAACTTCAAAAGGAGTAATGAGGAAGGCAACCAGAGGAAAATAATTTAAGTTGGCTGAGGCCTTCTGGGATGGATAATCCCTGAGAAGAAATGGGAAGCAAGAATGAGTTGAGGATAGATCAAGGGAGGAAGGGAGATTGTTGTTGCTGGAAATGTTCTCAGAAGTTGTGAAGGACTTCCTTGCTCAAGAAATATAATGCGTGTAACAGGCTGGAATTTGACCCTTTTTATTTATTTTATTATTTATTTCATCTACTTATACCCAAACAAAATTGTAGTGTGGTGATTGGCTTCCAAGTGCAGCAACAATTGATCATGCCCCAGAAGCGTGAATTTGGGTGTACATATATAGAATCATAGAGTTGGAAGAGACTATATGGGCTATCCAATTCTGCTGTTCAGGGAAAGCACAATCAAAGCACCCTCGACAGTTGGCCATCCATGATCCATAGCATCAAGCCATAGCAGTTATAGTGATGTCAAATTGTGTTATTTCAACAGTGTAGATGCAGTGTTCGATTTTCCAATCGTGGTTCTCAAAATGTTATGGGACAACAACCCCTGTGTCCTGACCAATGACTGCTATGGGCTAATATAGTGGTTCCCAACCTTTTTTTTGAACAGGGACCACTCTCCAACATTAGTACTAAAAGGGTTACAAATCGCTTTTTTGTCAACTTCAGATCCAGTTTGGTTATTTGGGGTGCACCTTCAGAAATTTGGATAGACCACATCAGCTCTGGTTTCTGATACAGAACATATGCCATCCAGTAGTCGCCATCTACTCACCCACAGAAAACCATATTAAATAACCTATAGCTAGTGTGGTAGTAGTAATCTTTCTTGGGTTGTCAGCCTGTCCCCTCCCAACATTCCCATTGCCTCACCACTATAAGAGGGTTTCGCGAGACCAGTCGATCTTGTTGCCATGTGGTTTTGAGGTAATGGTGTAGTAATGGTGAGGCTGGTTTTTTTGTTATTGCAGACTGATGGTCTACAGACCACAGGTTGGAAACCACTGGGATAATAGGTGCTGCAATCTGATAAGATCTCAGTAGTGGGAGCCCCCGGTGGCGTAGCAGGTTAAACCGCTGAGCTGCTGAATTTCTTGATTGAAAGGTTGCAGGTTCGAATCAGGGAAGCGGCGTGGGCTCCCACTGTTAGCTCCAGCTTTTGCCAATGTAGCAGTTCAAAAACATGCAAATGTGAGTACATAAATAGATACTGCTCCAGCGAGATAGTAACAGTTCTCCATGCAGTCATGCCGGCCACATGACATTGGAGGTGTCTACGAACAACGCCAGCTCTTCGGCTTAGAAATGGAGATGAGCACCAAACCCCAGAGTCGGACACGACTGGACTTAATGTCAGGGGAAAACCTTCAACGTTACCTTAGTGGGGACTACTGAGAGTGAATGCAGAGGAATTATTATTTTTGTAATTGTTATTATTATTACCATTATCATTATTGTTTATACCCTACTTTTTCTCTTCATAAAGGAGACTCAAAGAGGCTCTCATATCCTTGCTTCTGACTATTTCAGCATTCAGTGTATATCACTGTATGATCTCTTGGGGTACATCCATTCCCTAATATTGTGATCATCCTTTTAGTCTTCCCTTGGTTTCCACCCTAGTTCAGCCAGCCTTGGACATTCAGCAGTTTAGCCAAACTACTCTACGAACCTATAAACTGGATGTGAAGGTCCTTTGGACCTACAACAAGATGAATATTTGGGCAAATCAATCAAAAGTACACAGCTCATATGTGTCTACTTCTCTGTGTTAGCCTGATTTTTATTAAAGCTATTAAAGAGATTTGTTCTTTCCTTCCTCCCCATTCAAACTGCTTCCCTGGAGACGTTTACAAAAATTTAACATTAAAACCAAAAATATAAAACTACTTGCATATTAAAGGTTGGTTTATAAAAACCAATTAGCAGAGGTAATAATAATAAAAACAGTAAAGAAGTGTGAAAAAAATGGGCAGAGGATTGAAAAGCTCTGGTAATGGAGAAAAGAGTCTCTGCTTAGTATAGAAACAGCATCAAGATAAGGAGCAGACAGTTCTCCTTGAGGAGAGTTTTTCACAAGAGGCTTATCTGGCATTGGCTTGGGTATTTATTTGATAGCTTCCAGGTCATGGTGCTGGTGGGGAAGAGATAAAGGTTGAAACATGTTAAGGCTCTTGATGGATGTGTTTTTTTTGTACACAAGTGTGTTACTGGTTCCTTTCACTTTAATCAGTGATGCATTCTGTTTGTGGCTTGACCTGCATATACAAAAGCAGAGTTAGGTAGTCATGGGAACTGGGTTTGCATCAGATCCTAGAATCAGAATCATAGGACTTGAAAGAGACTTTTAAGGGCCATCCAGTTTAACCTCCTGCAATGCAGGAACACACAGGCAAAGCACTCCTCATCCAACCACCGTTTAAACACCTCCAGTAAAGAGAAGCATATTCCATTGTTGAACAGCTCTTATTTTCAGAAAGTCCTTGCTAGTATTCTACAGTTTGAATCCATTGTTCTGGATCATTTTTTCTCTCTCTTTTAAATTTTTAATTCAGTTTTCATACACATACACAAAATTTACAATTCCCACCACCACCACGATAACAGGTTGAATCCATTGTTTTGAATCAGTCTCTGGAGCCTGTTCTCTCTTCAAAATGAAATTTCAAAAACATCTCATTTTTTAAATTTCACAATGTAAAGTAAAAATGGAAAGGAGCGGGATATTAAAAATTGTATCCAAAATTACCAAACAACATTTTGCTGGTATACTTGATGCTGCTTTACAGCCCTTCACTTTGAGTTCCTTGTAGCCACCTCGAGTCTTCTTGTATGTAGAGAGAAAGAGGGGTATAAATAAACATAATAATCATAGAATATTAAAATTGGAGACTCTTTGCATTGTTTTACCCCCTTTTCTAATACCACCTTTACCATCACTCCCCCTCTGTTGTCCCCTTCAACATATCTTTTTCTCTATCTCTAATTTTTCAAATGTTTATTGTAGATTTAAACTCTTAATAAAAAGTATTCTTTTAAAAAAGAATATTAGAGTTGGAAGAGATCAAATGGGCCATCTAGTCCAACCCCCCTGCCATGCAGGAAAAGCACATCAAAGAATCCCTAACAGATGACCATCCAGTCTCTGTTTAAAAGCCTCCAAGGAAGGAGCTTCCACCACACTCTGAGGCATTGAGTTCCACTGTTGAACATCTCATACGGTCAGGAAGTTCTTCCTAATGTTCAGGTGGAATCTCCTTGTAATTTGAACCCATTGCTTTGAGTTCTAGTTTCAAGGGCAGCAGAAAACAAACCTGCTCCCTCTTCCTTATGGCACCCTTTCACACATTTATACATGGCTATGATTACTCCTCTCAACCTTCTCTTCTGCAGGCTAAACATATCCAGTTCTGAGAAGGTAATGGTGCTCCATGCAGTCATGCCGCCACATGACCTTGGAAGTGTTCTATGGACAATGCCCCTCTTTGGCTTAGAAATGGAGATGAGCACCACCCTTCAGAGTCGGACACAACTAGACTAAATGTCAGGAGAAACCTTTCCCTTTCCTACCTAATTTGGTGTCATCTGCAAATTTGATAAGCATGCCCTCTAAACCTTCATTTCAGTCATTAATAAAGATTTTGAACAGTACTGGGCCCTGGACCACTTCTGTCCTTTGGGTTCAGTTGCTTAATGAATTACAGATCCACCTAATCATGGTTTTGCCTAGCTCACATTTTACTAGTTTGCTTGCGAGAAGGTCTTGGGGGACTTTGTTGTAGGCCTTACTGAAATCAAGATATGCTCATCCCCAGCATTCCCTGCATCTACCAAGCTTGTAACTATATAAAAAAAGAGATAAGATTAGTCTGGCATGACTTGTTTTTGAGAAATCCATGTTGAGTTTTAGTAATTACAGCATTCCTTTCTAAGTGATTGCAGACTGCCTGCTTAATGATTAGCTCCAGAATCTTTCCTGGCTGACTGGATGGTAATTGTTTGAGTCCTCTTTTTTTCCCATTCTTGAAGATAGGGACATTTGCCCTTCTTCAGTTTGCTGGACTTTTTCTGTTCTCCAAGAATTTTCAAGGAATTTTGTCAGGGTTCTGAAATTACTTCTGCTAATAATAATAATAATAATAATAATAATAATAATAATAATAATAATAAGAAGAAGAAGAAGAAGAAGAAGAAGAAGAAGAAGAAGAAGAAGGAATGAATGAATGAATTGTTTATTGTACTGGCCATAGGCCATGACATAAAATATACAACCTTTAGAAGTACAATAGGCACTGTATTGTCGAAGGCTTTCATGGCCGGAATCACTCAGTTCTTGTGGGTTTTTTTGGGCTATGTGGCCATGTTCTAGAGGCATTTCTCCTGACGTTTCGCCTGCATCTATGGCAAGCTTCCTCAGAGGTGAGGACCTCACCTCTGAGGAAGCTTGCCATAGATGCAGGCGAAACGTCAGGAGAAATGCCTCTAGAACATGGCCACATAGCCCGAAAAAACCCACAAGAACTGGACAATAGGCACTTTCCAATATAAATATTAAAATGTGAAGAAGCAGAATAAGAATAAGAAGGAGAATCACATTCTCCTGCCTCCTCTTTGAAGATTTCACCCAAGTAAGTTTAAAAGCTTGACCAAGATTTGTGACTTGACTACTAGAAAGTAGACCATTGCCTTTGAACTTCTGGATGCTCACGTCCATTATGACGATATCAGTTGCTGAAAAAACTGGTATTTTTACTCTGCTTTTCAGGCTATGGATGCAGCTCAGCTTGCCGATGACCTTCGGGCCCAGTTAGAGCTGGCACAGAAGAAGCTGCATGATTTCCAGGAGGAGATTGTGGAGAACAGCGTGACCAAAGAGAAGGATATGTTCAACTTCAAACGAGCCCAGGTAACTGGCATGTGGCTGCTTGTTTGGCTGGGCTCTTTGGGCATTTTGCCTTTGGTGACAGTTATGTGTGTTCAAGTAACTCGCTTGTCTCATGTCTTTTGCCAACATGAAGGCATCTTTGCCTTCATGGTGTGGCTCATTTCCATCTGTCTTCCTTTTTTTTGCTTTCTTCCATGGAAGGCACTGTGATATGTCTTGCATATCACAGATCTACTTTTATCTAGCATTTGGTTTCTAGTGGCATCCTACTAGAAAGACAATTAACTTGGGACTCTTCCTGCTTTATTTGTTTCCAACATCTGGATAGTCACATCTGTAACTGCCTGCAGAGATTGCATCTCAGTAGCAGCTATACAAATAGTTGTCCCCCAGAAATGTATTTAAGTGAAAGATGGGCAGTGTGGCAGATGTTTTGGATTACAATCAACATCATATCCAATCATTGGCCATCCTGACTGGTGTTGTTGAGAGTTGTAGTTTAAATCATCTTGCATACCCCTCAATCCCGTTTTTCAGGCATTTCCTATAGCAGACTGGTGGCCATGCTCCCAGTGTATTGTGGGTGTGTTAAGTGTTCTGTATTTCATATTGAAGTTATATTTTGTGGTTAAATAAAGGTAAGAGGGGAGCTGCTTGTGAACAGTTCAACTGACTTATCCATTCATTACTTATACTCTTCTCCCCCCCCCCCCCTTTCAAAAAGAAGAAGATATGGTGTTGGTCCCAATTACAGTATGGGTTTTGTATGATGTTTTATGTAATTTGTTTACGTGGACTTTATTGTTACTGTGTAATTTTGCTTATGTACTTTGTTGTATTTCATATGTTTGCACTATTGAGTACTTTTGTGAGCCACCCCATGTCCCTTTGTGGAGATGGTGGCAGGATATAAATAAAGTTTTTTATTATTATTTATAGAGTAGACATTAAATCAGTGGGATTTACATATATTAACTTGGCCAGTGTTGTGGTTTGCTTTTTGGACTAGGAATGGACAACCAAGTGATGACCTTGGTGGGAAATTCAGACTTTCTCCACCTCAGAGGAAGGCAATGGCACACCTTTTCTGAATAAGCAGTCAGGAACCCCATAATAGGCTCACCTTGGGATTACCATAAATGGGAAATGACTTGAAAACATAGCAACAATAACCTTAACATTTAGTAATTGATTCAGTAGGTCTGTTCTGGTTGGGACTAACAAGTAGATATATGCTCTAATCCAGTGGTTCTCAACCTGGGGTCCCCAGATGTTTTTAGCCTTCAACTCCCAGAAATCCTAACAGCTGGTAAACTGGCTGGGATTTCTGGGAGTTGTAGGCCAAAAACATCTGGGGACCTCAGGTTGAGAACCACTGCTTTAATCTGTCTGGCTAATTCTTCCTCTGCAGGAAGATATCTCAAGGCTGCGAAGGAAGCTGGAGACCACCAAGAAACCTGACATGGTTCCCAACTGTGATGAAATCCTTATTGAGGAAATTAAAGATTATAAGGTAGGCAACTTGATGCTGTAAACCAGTGGTTCTCAACCTGTGGGTCCCTAGGTGTTTAGGTCTACAACTCCCAGAAATCCCAGCCAGTTTACCAGCTGTTAGGATTTCTGGGATTTGAAGGCCAAACATCTGAGGACCCACAGGTTGAGAACCACTGCTGTAAGCAATGGATCTGGACCTTAGATATTGGATTATGGATGAATGGAATAAAGCACCATATGTTTTAATCTGTTTTTATTTGCTCATGTTTTTTAATTGTTTTATAGTTGATGGGATAAGTTTTATTGTTTTGTTTACATTCCGCATTGAATGTTGCCGGAGACTGGGGTGAGAAAGGAAGGGTATAAATTAAGTAAATAAATAAATTAGATATACTTTGGATTAGTAATATCTACAGAATTTCTATCCATAACTGTAACAATCCATTTACAAAGAATGTGGCTCAACACTCTTTTGCGCAATTAAAGCTTGTGCACCAGTTGCGCCTGTACCTTGGGAAGTCTGATCTGGCCACAGTGGTCCACGCTCTTGTCACATCCTGAATAGACTACTGCAACGCGCTCTACGTGGGGTTGCCCTTGAAGACTGTTCGGAAACTTCAACTAGTCCAACGAGCGGCAGCCAGATTGCTTACCGGAGCGACATACAGGGAGCACACCACCCCCCTGCTGTGTCAGCTCCACTGGCTGCCGGTTCAGTTCCGAGCACAATTCAAGGTGCTGGTTTTGACCTACAAAACCCTGTACGGTTCCGGTCCAGTGTATCTGTCCGAACGTATCTCCCTCTACGTCCCACCTCGGAGTCTGAGATCATCTGGGGAGGCCCTGCTCTCGACCCCACCACTGTCACAAGTGAGGCGGGTGGGGACGAGGAGCAGGGCTTTCTCAGTGGTGGCCCCTCACCTGTGGAACTCACTCCCGGGGGAAATCAGGGCATCATCATCCCTCCTCTCCTTCAGGAGGAGGATGAAGACGTGATTATGGGACCAGGCCTTTGGGCAATCTGGCAATTAAATAAGACAATCAGGCGAATCAGACCAACAGGATTGATGAAGTGGAACGGAAAACTAGAACTATGAGTTAGCGATCGCTGACCGTGTAAGAGAGGAATTGGGTTTGTATTGGTTTGTATTGCTTTTATTGCTTTTATTGATATAATGCATGAACTAGTGTGATGTAATTGTGTAACTGTAATTTTGTGTCTTGATTGTTCTGTACTGCAGGCATCGAATTGTGCCTTGCTTCTGTAAGCCGCCCTGAGTCCCCTTCGGGGTGAGAAGGGCGGGGTAAAAGAACCCCAAATAAATAAATAATAAATAAACAATCTATAAAGGGCTCCGCATATAGCCAGGGATATTTTATGTCAGCCTAGGGTTTTCTGGCTCTTTGTATGTAAAGTATTTAGCATATCTTCTTGTAAGTGGTAGGAGATGAGAACTTGGTCTCATGATGCATCTCCCCACCTCATTCTTAACTATCCGATTTCTTCTTCCAAGGCCCGGCTGACATGCCCTTGCTGCAACATGCGCAAGAAGGATGCTGTGCTCACTAAGTGCTTCCACGTCTTCTGCTTTGAATGTGTGAAAACCCGGTACGACACCCGACAGCGCAAGTGTCCCAAGTGCAACGCTGCTTTTGGGGCCAACGACTTCCACCGTATCTACATTGGCTGAGTCTGTCCATTCAAGGCATCTCAGTTGTCAACCCACTATACTTGTCGCTCATCAGCAGGCTGGATACTGCTTCTCTATGTCAGAGGTCTCCTCCTCCCCCACTTCTCAAAAAAGACATATCTCCTTAGGTTAGTGACAGGAGGTTAAATTTTTTTTCTCATTATTTTCTTTCCTTTTCCAGTTTTGTTTTGCTTTTCATTTAGTACCGGTCCTCATTCATTGCCCCAGCCTGCTAAGGACGAGTGATCATTATGAGAAATGGTGTTTGGTTGATCCCTGACACAAGCAATAGCTGTGAAATAGGCAGCAGTTGAATCAGCTAGCACCCATAACTCTAGGGAAATGGCATGAGTTAGTTTAATGAGCTTTCTTGCAGACCTTTTGATGTTAGTTTCCATCTCTGTTTTCTAATAAAGGAAAAAATCCTTCATCTTGGTCGGAATGTTTCCCTGTGTTTGTGTGTGTTTCTGCTTGCATTTGTTGGCAGTCTTGTTGTATTTATTGAGAGCCTTTAACACCTTCCTGGGTCCACACAGTTTCTTCCATTTAAGGGTACTTCAGAACAAACTTTTGTAACCACTGCACTCTGGCAGAAAGAAGAAAGGAGCTCAGCCTTGGAGAAAACAGTGATTGTAACGGAACCACCACCATGTTCAGTGCTAGCCTTCTAAAATGAGGCAAGACCCATCAGTAACATAGATAAAGCAGCTTGCAGTATCAAAGAAGAAATTGCCTCCTCTCTGTATGTCATAATGTTCCAGAAGAGATGGGTTTACACCAGGCATGGGGAAGCTTTGGCCCCCTATGTGTTCTGGACTCCAACTCCCACAATTCCTAACAGTCTACTAGCCTCCAGTGGTGCAGTAGGGTAAACTACTGAGCTGCTGAACTTGCAGACCGAAAGGTTAGCGGTTCAGATCCGGGGAGTGGGGCGAGCTCCGGCTGTTAGCCCCAGCTTCTGCCAACCCTGTAGTTCGAAAACATGTACATTTGAATAGAGCAATAGCTACCGCTCTGTAGAAAGCGCTCCATGCAGTCATGCCGGCCACATGACCTTGGATCTATGGACAATGCCGGCTCTTTGGCTTGGAAATTGCGATGAGCACTACCCCCAGAGTTGGACTCGACTAGACTTAATGTCAAGGGGAAACCTTTACCTTTACTTACCAGCTGTTAGGAATTGCGGAAGTTGAAGTCCAAAACACCTAGGGAGCTGAATTTTACCCATGCCTGGTTTACACACAGTGCTTTGTCTATAGGCCCCCATGTATGACCCATTGTAGTATTGAAGGGGTGTAATCCATCATGTGAGGTGAATGTAGCCTTTGTGAACTAGAACCTACACACCCAAAAGGCACAAGTAGGATCTGTCACCCACTTTTTCATGGCAGATGAATCACACAAGTGGAATCAACATACATGAACCTGCATCTGATTCAATTTGCTATGTGTCCTGGAAGAGGCTTCCTATTGTGGCCTGTCTTTTTACTGGATCTACACCTGGGACTAAAAAGCAAGAGGGACCTTTTAGACCACTCCTCCATTAAGAAGCCCTTTTAAGGTAGAGTAGAGTGGCGACAGATAGTGGCCAGTATATCAGATACTTCAGTTCAATTTACTGTCAGATTTCCCCTTTGCTATAAAAATGACCAATGTCAGAGTACATTTGTGCCAATAAAAATCTGTGATTATGTGGTGTCTTGGTTTTCTCTAGTTTTGCTATCCTTTCAATGTTTTTTCTCGCTCCTTTTGGTACTGAAAAGAGGGTATAACTTGTACAAGAGATCAATAAGTGAGTACATTAAACTATATATTGGTTCTGTGGATACAGGGATTGCAGTGGAGTACATAAAGAAGGCATTGGCTGTTTCCAGTAGCCAGTTTCTAGATCAGTGGTTCCCAAGAACTAAAATATGGTCCACGGCTTCACCATTGCTACACCATTGACTCGAAATCACGTGGCAACAAGAGCGACTGGTCTCACAAAATCCTCTTACAGTGCAGAGGCAACTGGGATGCTGGGAGAGGAGAGGCTAACTATTCATGAAAGATTATTACCACCACATCAGCTCTAGATTATTATATTTGGTTTTTTGTGAGTGAGCAGATGGTGACTACTGGATGGCATATGTTCTGTATCAGAAACTAGAGCTGATGTGGTCTATCCAATGCAATTTTCTGAATCAGCACCCCAAATAACCAAACCAAATCTAAAGTTGACCAAAAACTGATTTGTCACCCTTTTGGTACTAATGTTGGAGAGTGGACCCTGGTCAAAGTGGCCCCTGGTGAAAAAAACATTGGGAATTACTGTTCTAGATGGTGATTGCTACCATGAAAATGTCATTAAGCTGATGATATTTTTCTTATTTTTATATCTTGCCTTTCTCTCAGGATGAGAACTCTTGTAAATCCGGTGCCATCTTTTAAGTTAGTGTCTATGATACACATCTCGGCATGGGGAATATCCTGAGTTAGCTCCACAGTGCATGAAGAAAGACTTGTATTTTCTACTACTCAATTTCCAACTTGTATTTTTCTCTGATACATTACCATTGCTGCTAACATAGCCAGATATTCTCTGAAAGATTGTGATGTCCCAAGTTGGACATTCCTTTTTTAAATGATTTTACAGAATGAATTTTTCCATATGGCATTAGCCAGCTTTCATTCAGCAAACTCTCCAACCATAATGAAAACGGAACAGCCTAAAAATAGTATTAAAATTTATTGAAAATTAAAAAAAAAAAAATAACCACAACCCCATCCAGAGTTTTCACTCAGAAAAGGAGATGGTCAAGGGCAACTCGTAGAAATCAATTAAAGAATTAATTATTCATTTACACCAAAGATGTGAGATGTAGTGCTGGCTTTCTGTTGGATTCTTCAAAAAAAAAAATCAATGCCAGCATATATTTGGGGAGTGGGGAATGAGAAGAGCTTTTTGGGACTGGGCAAAATAATTGCCTGGTGACTCAGATGAGAAAAGATAATTTCTAGGCCTTGGCCAAGTCACACATATTTGGGATTCTTGGGTCTTCAATGCCTAGTATATTAGAAGAAAGCCCATCAGCTGGGATTCATGGATGGACATTACATAACATTCAAAGGAAGTAAGTCCCCTGTGGCATATGAGTACCAGTTCCCACATACTGGTATCTTAGTCCAGGCCCAGTGTGCTGTTACTGTGATGTGGTTGCTGCCTCCCCTGACACTGTTCTCATGCCATTCCAAACTAAGTGTTCTAACCCGAGGAATTTGCCAAATTTACCAAAAGTCATGTTTTTTTAATTGATGTAGAAATTAAAACTGACCAATATAGTTGGTATGGCCTAGAGCTTTTTCACACTGAAAAATATGGGCATATTAAGGCTGTATAATGATTGCCACCTCTTCACTTTCTTGGAGACCTCTCAATTTTCAATTACATTCCCCAACACACATTTGGGTGCCTCAAATGTTAAGCTTATTTCTGGGTATATTTGACTTGCTGATTCCAAAAATGTCACCAGTTTTCCCTGATCAGCTCTAGTTTTTGAGATACAGAACATAGGCCGTCTAGCAGTCACTATCTGCTTGCCCATAGAAAGTCATGGTAACTGTATCCAAGAAACTTGAGCTGATGTGGTCTATCCAATGCAGTCTGCTGAATCAGCACCCCAAATAACCCCAGGAATAGGCCAAAAAATCAAGATACCAAGAATTGTTGTTGTTGGGTTGTGTCACCAGAAACTCAGGCAAGCACAGTCTTGGAGCTTATAATAATGGTACTACAGTGGGCCCTCGATATCCACTGGAGTTTGGTTCAAGGATGCCCTGTGAATACCATAATCTGTGGATGCTCGAGTTGATTATATATAATCATGTAGTAAAATGGTTGCTTATATAAAATTGCAAGATTGGGTTTTACTTTTGGATGTTTTAAAAATTATTTTCAAGTCACGGATGGTGGAATATTGTGTATATAGAGGACTAATTGTAATTGAATCTAGGCAGTGCAGTTGAGAGAAGCCACAGGATGGGAAAACATCCGGGCGTCCCCTGGGCAACATCTTTACAGACAGCCAATTCTCTCATACCAAAAGCGACTTGCAGTTTATCAATTCACTCTTGACATGAAAAAAGCTGGGAAACTGCATTCCATTCAGTTGTTGGAAGGATTCACAAATATTTGCGGATAATTTGGAAAAACTGAGATTTTATAAAAGGAATGTGGAAAACAGTGAAGCTAATAGATTTCCCCATCCTTACCCAGTTCTATGGATTAGTTTGGAGTCCACATTTATCTACTATGTTGACAGTCCATCTCTTAACAAGGAGTTCATCACTGAGCTTGGGAGAAAATAAATGGACATCACTTGGAATGGCTTGAGAGGGCCTGTGGAGTCAGGGACTACATAAGCCAAATGGCATGTGAATTAGGCCTTGTTGGTGGTACTAATTTGCATGTATGGATGGGCTGGGAGTGAAGATGTGGGAGATGGAATGGTTTGCCAGTTGATTGTATGCCATACATTGTTTCACCCACCGCTTGCATAGCACCCGCATCAAGAACAAACATTTACAATTGGAGAGCCAAGCCACCACTGGTAACTTACACAACACATTTCACTGAAGGATACCACTGCGCTTCAAAAACATTAAGCCATAGCATTGACTTTGAGCCAACCTTTGGACCACAGGTTCCCCATCACCAGCCAAAAACAACAGGTTCTGAGATTATGATGGGGAATCTTAGGCCAAATATATCTATATCTATATAATGTATATGTATGTATACATATCATAAGACTGGGAACAAGAAATACCAAAAAAGGCTACCATAGTTAAATTGTGTGTAGCTTTGGAAATGATTTAATTTTTTCATTTTTGTTGTTGCTTGAAACGGATGTTCAGGGCCACAGAACCTGCTGAGAACAATCGTAGGATTAGTTTGTAAAGGCAAAGGGTTAAATCTAACATGAATTCCCTGCTCATGTAACTCTACTGAATTCAACAGGAATTCATTATGTTCTGTAGGCATTGAATAAAAACCCAATTCATTTCAATAGATTCTCTTTTCATGGATCTGCTTTAATTTTGAGTAAAGGTGTGCTTAGCCTAAATAACTTGAAGGTAGAATTGGGTCCTGCCCTGACAGTTGATTCAAAGAAGTAGCAAAATGCAGAATTGTGTAAGGAAATATAATACTAAATCTTTAGAGTTGGGGATATGTGGCCTTCCAAGTGATGTTGGTCTGCACTCCTACCACTCTTGGAGTTAACAGTCCAGAAACACCTAGAAGATACATCTACTGAATCTGATTGCTGAAAGCCGATGTATAATAATCCAGAATGAATCAGTGAAGTTCCCAATATTTAAGATGAAGATGGCAATATTTAAGATGATATTTTGAATGTTTTTTTTCTGCACAAAAGATCTCATTTCTTTAGTCATCTAACATATCCAAGCAAAAGCTGAATGAGTGTTTGTTTTTTTTAAGGATTGGTTTGCAATGCTGGAGCATCAAAAAATAAGATCCTCTCAGGTTGCAATTTGGAGTGCCAGAGCCAAGAATGCTAGTACCCCATGCTGAAAAATCCAAAATAATGCAGGGGGAGCAGAAAGTTGTGCCAGCATACGTCTAGGAGAGTGAATTAGGAGGATGGAGGAACCCAACACTTTGTAGGGTGGCAAAAGGCTGCTCTGATATCCACAAAGTTGGCTGGGAGTTTCTTCCCCCCTTCCAATCCTCAAAGGGTCAATCAGTGGCTGTTTAGTTTGATTGGGTAGTGGTAATAGAGTTGTGCCAAATTCCATGTAAGACGACAGAAAATAGCTAGTGCAAGGAGGTATCAGATGCCTTCTTTCACAAGCTTCACAAAGGTACAGTCACTTAGGCAATCAGGGCTTGAACAAATGCAATTACAGTATTGTTTCCTGGTTTACATAAGCTCTGAGATCTTTCAATAGTAGAAGCATTAATTTATAGTTGAATTTAACCCTTGGGTTTTCCTCTTTTAGAGAAAAATCAGTACTCAATCACGAAGAAGTGTTTCGTTGTGTAAGGTCCTACATTGGCCCCTTGATATCTGCTGTGGTTTGGTTCTGGGACTTCCTAATGGATATCAAATCCATGGATGCTCAAGTCCCACTGGGTACAATGGCATAGTAAAATGTCTGCTGTATAAAATGGCAAAATCAAGGCTTGCTTTTTAGATTTTTGGGGTGGTAGCAGAATATTTTCAAGCCATGGATGGCTGAACCTATGGATACCAAATCTGTGGATAAGGAGGGCTGACCGTATTTTTCTAGGTAGACCTTAACAACTTTGAACAGCAAAATCCAAATAAAATACCACCAAGATGCATGATTCTCGATCATCGCTTTAAATCTCCCTTCACTTTTTTTAAAAATTAATGCACAGAAAGGGCTAAAAAGTAGAATGTCTATTTTGTGAGAAGCACAAGAGGAGCCACACAACCTGGTGGCTCAGAGTTTGGGAAGAGTCTTCTGGTAAGCTAAGACTTCTCATGGGAAAACTCTTTTTCCTTTGAAATGGCCACACAGCCAGAAGTAAGAAACGCTGCGACCCTCCACCATCTTGGTGTTGTGTGAGGAAGGAGTTATCGGCTGAAGGATGTATTGCTTTGCTGATTGTGGTGCCTTGTTTTGCCCCTTGGCATTACCCCAAGAAGTGCATTTTGCATTGTTACAGGGAAATGGAAAGCGGCCGCTTAAGACTCCGCAGTCCTGTTTGTCCTCTGAAACTCTTCCAGCTCCAGTTTCCTGCTCATGGCCAGCTGTAGTTCCTGCTTGATCACCTGGATCTGCTTCTCCAGTTCCGAGAGCTCTTGGATCACTGAGGTCCTAGCAATGTTAACAGAGTCTGCTTTCCCATTTGTGGCCAGCGATGCTGGAGAGTCTCTCTTTACGGGAGGAAGAGGTATCTCTTGCTCCTGCTGCTCCTGCTGCTGCTTGAGAACCACTTCGTTCTGCCTTTCCTCGGTGCAGATATATTTCCTCCGATGGCAGTTGCCAGGGCTAGCCGTATTCCACACTGCGTGCTCACTGTTTCCTGCGTGGGACCTGCAAAAAGAATGTTGCGTGTACAATTAGAAGACGGCTTTCAGTTTTGTTTTTTATTCATCTGGATACCTTGTTTCATATTTTGGAACATCATCCCAGATTTCCTCCAGCCAACATGGATACTGGCTGATAGAATCCGGGATTTATAATTCAAAAATTGGGTTGTTGTAGGTTTTTCGGGCTGTATGGCCATGTATTAGAAGCATTCTCTCCTGATGTTTCACCTGCATCTGTGGCAAGCATCCTCAGAGATGCAGGGGAAACGTCGGGAGAGAATGCTTCTAAAACATGGCCATACAGCCTGAAAAACCTACAACAACCCAGTGATTCTGGCCATGAAACTTTCAATAATAAATCCAAAAACTACTTTTTGAATGATATGTAATAGCTGTTTAACAACATGTGAATCTCTCAGGGTCCTTTGCTACTATCAAGTAATAACAGCATTGAGCAGTAAATTACTGGTATCTTATATCTAACAAACTGACACAAGATCTTAGCTTTTGTTGCATCCGTGTAGAGCATTTTTCACCCCACAGCCAATTTTTTTATGCATTTAGCAAATCCATGCTGATTGAAATAGATGAATTCTGATATAGATGAAGCTGTAAGTCTGCATGCACTCTATTAAAAAAAGAAGAGTCTTCTGAGAAATGTGTAAGGATAGAAAGTATCAAAGGATTGCTCCCTAAGGAAATAATAATACAGCCCAAATTATTTTCATCATTTTTGGTTCCTTCCCACTTTCAATACAGCAGCTATCTAAAGGAATAAATGAGTGTTATCGGGGAATGAAAGGCAGCTCACTACGCTGTTCCACCACATTAATTCATTATTGCTGTGTTCCCAGGCTCTGTTTTCTGCAACATGGCCCTGTGGACATGAATCCTCTGTGGAAACGCAACGGGTTTGAACAGGCTTGGAGATGGGAGTGCTCCAATTAGACACAGTCAATGTTAAAAGGATATTTTTAGGATGGGGTGGGGGGTTGTTCTACCCTTCCTTCCATGGAATTCTTGGTTTCGGTCTTTCAAGTAGAATATATCTATAGAATGCATCTTGAGAGTCACATTTGCCTCAGGATTTAGTTCTGTCAGATTTCTGCAATTTACCCTACAGTTAGCACTGGGTTAGTTATGCAGGCATGGGGTGGTCAGGTGGGATCAAAAGCAGGCTGGTGGAAAAATACAAGCAGGCACATTTCTTATTAGTCATGCCGTGAGTTATGTCAGAGAACTCAAAACACGACTGTCAAGCTTGCAACGTGCTGCGATGTCACTCCATAAAATCGCACTATTTAAATGGTAGCTCTGTAATGTTACAAATATTCTAGTAGTTTAAAAATCAATGACATGGGATGTTTTCACATGGCCATGGTGGCCGTGCCGTTGTGCCATGCCATGGCACTGGGAAGGTATGCGGGGTAGAATGTCCAGGGTGGGAGAAAGAACTCTTGTCTGTTTGAGGTAAGTGTGAATGTTGTAGCTGACTAGCTTCATTAGCACTGAATAGCCTTGCTGCTAAAAGTCTGGCTGCTTCCTGCCTGGGGGAATCCAGAAATATATAAACTTCACTTGCCTAGTTTCCAACCAACCTCACAACCTCTGAGGATGCTTGCCATAGATGTAGAAAAATGTCAGGAGAAAATGCTTCTGGAACATGGCTATATAGCCTGGAAAATTCACAGCAACCCAGTAATTCTGTCCATGAAAGCTTTTGACAACACAGACTTGGAAATTGTTTCTCTTTAAAACAGATTTTGACCACAGAACACTTTCAGGAAACTAGACATCGGCCTCTGAGTACATCTGGAAGGTAGCTCTTGATGGCCCAAAGACTCACCAGATTTGCCCGCACCTTACTGACGAATGTAATCAAGAAAAAGTAGATGTATAATAAATCAACTGGGATATAATTGCTATTCTGAAGAAAGGCATATAGCTGACATTTTTCTTTATGATAAATGGCTGAGATGGCACAAATAAATATGAATTTCAGTTGCTTATCAACATGTGACTGTGTAGTACAATTCTATTTTCCAGAATGCTTTTCTTTTCCTTGGGAAAAAAATTACGATATATATCTGGGGAATTCACATCTACAGATTCATTTGCAAATAAAGAGTTTAAAAAGCCATTTTTCTTACCTCTTTTCTACTCGCTTTGCTTTAGGCTGGTGTTTGTCTTCAATAAACGAACTATTTAGAGCTCGGTGCAATCTCTAGAGGGAAAGTGGAAAATAAATGAACCAGCAGAGAAACTGTCATTGCGTTGTCAGATGAAGACAAAGTAGAGAACTTGGCCTTTACTTATAAAAACCCACAATATTTAAAAGATTTGTCACAAAGTAAAAACCCACAATATATATGACATTCTCAGGCCAATGCCAAGACACATTTCTCCAAACGCCTCCCTGGTTTGTTGAGTGATCATAGTGGGTGCATCTACACTGTCGAATTAATGTAATTACACTCCACTTAACTGCCATGGCTCAATGCTATGGAATTAAAGGATTTGCAGTTTGGTGAAGCACCAACCCTTTTTGGCAGAGAAGGTTTCATGACAGTAAAAGTGGTGTGAAACTCTAGTAATTCTTCAGTGGAAATGCACCACTACAACGTGATGATTGAATAGCATTGAGCCATGGCAGCTAAAGTGGTGTCAAACTGCATTCATTCTATACTGTAGATCAGGTACAGGCAAACCTAGGCCTGGGGGCTGGATGAGGCCCCTTGGGCTCTTTTCTCAGGACCTCCTCTCTCTCGCACCATCCTATCCTTCCCTCCTTCTCTCTTTCCTTTCTTCTTCCCTCCCACCTTCCTTCCCTTCCACCCCTTTGTAGTTCCTTCCTTCACTCTTTCCTCCCTCCCTCCTTCCCTCTCTCTTTCTCCTTCCTTCCTTCCTTCCTTCCTTCCTTCCTTCCTTCCTTCCTTCCTTCCTTCCTTCCTTCCTTCCCTCCCTCCCTCCCTCCCTCCCTCCCTTTTGGCTTTCCTCCCTCTATTTCCTTCCACCCTTCCTTCCATCCTTGTCTTCCTCCCTTTCTTCCTTCTTTCCTTCTCTTTTTCCTTCCTCCTTTCCTCCTGGGGGATGTTTGGCTGAGAGAAAAGAAGGTATCCCTGGGACCCCCCCAGGGAGATAGGGCAGGTTATAAATAAACCATTATTATTAATATTATTGTTATTATTATTATTGACACAAAAGCACAGGATGTCACAGCAAATGAGATCTATATCCTGGATTTTGTATCACAAAATCACAAGTTGAACACTTTCCAAGCGTCTAGGACTGTGTGATGTATTATTATTATTATTATTATTATTATTATTATTATTATTATTATTGAGTGGGAACATGAGAACCATGTTTCAGGATTTAAAAGGGTGTCCCATTGAGGAGGGCGTCCCCTGGGCAATGTCCTTGCAGATGGCCAATTCTTTCACACCAGAATCGATTTGCAGTTTCTCAAGTCACTAATGACATGATAAAAAAATTGAGGAGGAGGGGGAAAAGTGACTTTCTGCAGCTTTAGAGACCAGGGCACAAGGGAGCAGTGGTTTCAATTGGCAGGGAAAGAGATTTGACTGTAAAGATTAGGAAGAATCTTTCCTAAGAGTTAGACTGGTTGAAGAGTGGCATAGGCTGCCTGGGAGTGTGGTGGAGTCTCCTTCTCTGGATGCTTTTCTGCAGGGGTTGTCTATCGGGAGTGCCTTCCTGCATGACTGGATGGACCTTGGGGTTCTCTTCCAGCTCTAGGGTTCTAGGATTCTATATCAGGAGTAGGCATTAAAGCGTTTAATGGATACATTTTTTTCTCCCGCCCACCATCTCATTCTGACAAAGGCTAACCCTTTTTAGATCCAAACATTTCCTGCCTTTCCTTCACTTTCTGCCTCTAAAAGAGAAGAGGAAGGGGAGGAAAGGGCAGGGATGGGACTTGGGGAGAGCCCCCTCCCTCCCTCCCGGCCCAACCACCCCACTCCAGCCCACCAAGTTAGAAAGTTTGCCCATGTCTGGTGTAGATGCACCCAATTATATGAAAATGGACTAAACCTAATTTTGGAATTTCCTGTAGCAGGACTGGGAAAGAAACACTTTTACCCAGAACCATTGTTTGTCAGTTAAATGCTGACAATACTAGGTAGGTGGGGCAGAACTTGGGAAACTGACTCTTTGGAACTGTAATTCCCTGAACTGGAGAATATTGGCCATACTGCCTGGAGAATGAAGTCTGAATAAAGAAAGGTTTCCAAACATTCTAAGGTGGGCCTGTTGCCGGACTCATTAAGCAAACAACATATGTTCATGGCATCATGTAGTAAACAAGTATGCCAATTTCACTGTTTTCATTCTTGATTTTGAGACTGAATCTTTTCAAGTGTTTTCTCTCGAAAGAGTGAAAGTATATACATGGCTTGCTGTTTGTTTTCGAGCTTTATGGCCATGTTCCAGAAGCATTCTCTCCTGACGTTTCGCCCACATCTATGACAGGTATCCTCAGAGGTTGTGAGGTCCTCAGAGGTCCTGTGGATGCCTGCAATAGATGTGGATGAAACGTCAGGAGAGAATGCTTCTGGAACATGGCCATACAGCCCCAAACATGCACAGCAACCCAGTGATTCCGGCCATTAAAGCTTTCAACAACACAGTATATACATGTTTACACATTTTTAGAAGTGGTTTTTCTTTTTGCATTTTGGGAATTTTTTAATGCCAAACTGACTTGAGAAGGACAAAGGTTAAAGGCTACTGCATTATAGTTTGCAATTTATTCCTCTATTCCATCCAAATTTATGGAAGTCATTCAGTTTCCTCACTATGTATATCCCCAACTACATAGCCACACTCCTTGTTCCACCCTGGCTGTTTTGATTTTTGGTCACCTTGCATTTTGGGAAGTGGCTTTTGAAATCCCCTGTGTTCAGTCCTCCGAGTTTGGCTTGATCAGTCAATTCAGAACAAGACTACTTATTTTCAGAGACGTAATGCTGCAACATATACCTGACTTGTGTGGAGCCAGTATTTCATCTTGGATTTCTTTTTGACTCGTGGGATTACCAGCCTGTATACAATATGCTCTCCAATTGTCGTTAGAATAGACATGCCGAATCCAATGCATAACATCACAAAGAGCCCAGAAAAGTGCTTGATGCCCATTTGCAGCGTCTGTTAAGAAATTAATAAAATGTCATTGATGTGTCAGTGACAGCAGCAAAACTGGCATCAAAACGAGTCAAATTCCCTCCCGCGATTGTTTTTTGTAACGCAGCTTGCATTTAATCTAATAGTTTTATGTCAGACCCTTTTGAACTCAACCTGTAAACAGGGAATATTTTTAATTAGGTATTTAAAAACTTACAGCTGGCATCCTGCTGGAAATGTATATGACATAAAAATAGACTTACCCACCCACCCAACAAGTTTTTGACAGGCAGATGACACACAAATATCTTAAATTTCTGATAGAACAGGGCGTAGGATTACAACATGTGCTGGATGGGGTTACATTCCCCCTGAAGGTGCAGGTTCGCAGCTTGGGAGTGATCCTAGATTCATAATTGAGCCTGGAACCTCAGGTCTCGGTGGTGGCTAGGGGAGCTTTTTCACAGTTAAAACTTGTGTGCCACCTGTGCTCATACCTTGGGAAGTCTGACTTGGTCACGGGGGTTCACACTCTTGTTACAGCCTGATTAGATTACTGCAACATGCTCCATGTGGGGCTGCATTTGAAGACTGTTTAGAAGCTTCATTAGTCCAATGGGCGGCAGCCAGATTGCTTATCGGGGCAGCACACAAGGACATACCACCTTCCTGCCAATTTGCTACTGAGCAGAATTCAAAGCGCTGGCTTTACCCTATAGAGCCCTAAATGGTTCCGGCCCAGCTTACTTTTCCAAACGCATCTCGCTCTACAACCCTCCCCAGAGGTTAAGATCGTCAAGGGAGGTCCTGCTCTCAATTCTACCATCCTCACAAGCACGGCTGGTTGGAATGAGAGACAGGGCCTTCTCAGTGGTGCCCCCTGGCTGTGGAATGCCCTCCCTAATGAAATCAGATCATCCCCCTCCCTCCTATCCTTTACGAAAAAACTTAAAACATGGTTGTGGGACCAAGCATTCAAGCAGGAGACACAGCAATAAAAATGAGAATGATTTATTTGACTGACAAAGGAGAGACCTGGATTATGACTTCAACTTGCATAATTTTAATTGAATATTTTGTATTTGATATTTTAACTATTTGTTTTAAATGTAAACTGTTCTTATAATTATCTTTGTTTGGGCATCTAATGGTTGCTGGTTGTGAGGCTGCCCTGACAATCGGGGACAGGGGAGGGAATTTCAAAACTTGACAATATTAATGTATGGGGTTTCTACTATATAAAAGTGACTGTATATATATCCCATAATGTTTATGATTGTACATTTTGGTATCCATTGCGATACATTTCATCCTTTCTGCAGATTGAATAAAGCCTCTGTCCTTTGATTTCAACTAGTGGGTCTTAGTCTCTTCCTGAAACATTGGTGGTTAGCAGATCTCGCCAGGTAACGGGCCCTTGTTTTCCGCAGCCCCTAGAAAACCAAATTTCGGCTTCAGTATCACTAGTTTTGGTGTCATCCAGTGCAATTACTTATGCTGCCACCTCCTATTCTAGACACTACCACAATATTGTAACTCAAATGCCAGAAAATCTATGACTACCAACCATCAACAATGAAAACAACAGGATATGATTGTAGGGTATGTAGATGAAATAAAATGATTTGTGGATAATAATGACAGTGCTGACAAAGCACATGCACACTAGAAGTTCAAATAGTCAATTAGCATCAAGTTTTAGGTTTATAGATATATTAATACAGCACTTGTAAGGTGTGCTTATGAAAATAAATTATGATTATCTCTAACTACAGGAAGTCTTTTTTAATATAATAAAGAATAAATTTCTGCTGAAACTCTGCACACAATTTTTATAGAGAGCCATTTTGGTGTCATCCTCTCTGAAGTTGTCACCCAGTGCCATCTGCATCCCCTGCACCACCCTAATGACATCATCACATGTTGTCCCCAGAAGCCATTTGTGCTGATGTTATGACTGCTTTGGAATTAACAAGCGGAGGGCTGCTAATCACTATTGCCATTTCCTCTTAACACTTGAGAGCAACACTACTTCAGAGCACTATAGATAATTGCATTGTTACACCTCTCATAACTTGTTCAAATGATGTTCAGTGCTGTAAGGAGATGATAGAGATGTCTGGGAATGCCTTGTTTGGAAACAAACCCTCTGCGGGTATCTGAATCATTGTCATCCTGACAAAGCTGAGCCCATGTTTTACAACCATCCATTGATTAGTTTGGGAGCCATGGCTTTGATCTGCCAATATAAACATATTTCTCCCAGGTGGACCTTATTGTACTGCTTATAAAACCAAGCTGAGCACCCAACCTGTCTGAAGGCAAATACAAAGTATGACAGATTATTCTGGAATAATCTGAAGATTTATCTGCCTGTCCTTCTCTTCCTTTTTGGTGTTGGTGAACTACAACTCCCAGAATACAAACAGGCTCCCCTCCCCCAACCCCACTGGTATTCAGTGTTGGCCATGTAGGTAGTGTGCCAAGTTTGGTGTAGATTTATTGTGGGCTGAGTTTCAAAGTGCTCTTTGATTGTAAGTGAATTATAAATTCCAGCAACTGCAACTATGTCAAGGTCTATTTTCCCCAAACACCACCAGTGTTCACATATGGGCATATTGAGTATTCATGACAAAGTTTGGTCCAGACCCATTATTGTTTGAATCCACAGTGCCTCTTGATGTAGGTGAATTACAACTCCAAAACCCAAGGTCAATGCCCCCCCAACCCCACCAGTATTCAAATTTGTGCATATTGGGTATTTTTGCCAAATTTAGTCCAGTGAATATTTTTGCCAAATTTAGTCCAGTGAATGAAAATACATCTTGCATATCAGATATTTACATTACGATTCATAATAGTTATGAAGCAGCGATGAAAATAATGTTATGGTTGGAGGTCACCACAACATGTGGAACTGTATTAAGAGGTCACGGCATTATAAAGCTTGAGAACCCCTGATCTAGATTGATTACAACTCACACTAATTATTGGAAGAGGAATGCAATTGGATGAAGGCATCAAAGCGGCTTGGAATCAAATACTCGACCAAGGCAATTCAATGCATTGACACCTTTCGTGAGTTGATCTTTATGCTGCATTAATTTAGCATCTTTCTCAACTGATTTGGGAGAGACCGCAATGAAGCACAAGGGAAACTGGAGATGAACATGTAACGGCTCCTCATTAAAGCATCCTTTTTTTGAGATCAAATTTATATGCATACTTTGATGAAGTGGGTGAGAGGGAGGAAAAATTACAGCAATATGGTTGGAGAATATGAAATGATTAACCACCACAGCCATAGATTTATATACAGGGAATTTTCTTTGTTGTTTAAATCAAGCCACTACCTCCTTTCTGTGCAATTGTGTGTGGGAGAGAAACGTAACAGATGCATTTTAACAAGTCTCTAGAGGTCTCATTTCATAGGATGGATTTCACAGATATGTTGTAAAATTTACAGGTTTGGGGTCTTCAAATTCTTATTGTTTCTCATCCTGCTCAGGATTTCCAAACTTCCAGACAACCAGGAAAGCACAGCAGGTGAGGCATCTTGCAAGTAATAAAAATTGTTATTATCTATAACCTGCAGGTATGTGATTTCATTTCATTGATCGGGTGATCCCTCCTTCCATGCAAATTGCAACTTTCCCCTTCACAATTATCGTGGACAATTGTGGCAAACCTTCTGGTGACACGTCTTGGTATACCTAGTTCTTATTTGCCTTATTAGCTTATTACAACCTGTCAGCCACACTATCTTAGTATGTTGACTCAGGAGTCCAGAACTTCTGCTCTGATACCAGAGAACCTTGAGTTACAAACATATCATACAGAAGTGGTAAAGCAGAATTTCATGGAGGCTATAACATATACATATGATAAAACACCCCACCAGCACCACAAAGAGCGCTAACACCATACAATGTATTTTAAGAGCAATTATCATGTTTTTGATAAAACCTCATGGGTGTTATTATCCTTGCACTGTCATTCCTTTTTCCTTGTGTGTTGTAATTTAAAAACCATCTAAAGCCCTATATCTTCCGGCAGTTTTTAAGCATGATTTTTAAGATTGTGTCCTTTGTTTAATCTCTGTTTTGTGTATTTTAATATGTATTTTATAGAAATACGTTTTAATATGTCTCTTTTTAAGAAATATATTTTAATATCTGTATTCGTGGTGTTTTTCCAATGTTTATGTGTTTTAATGATTCTGTAACCTGCCTCAAGCTATGAGGAGAGGTGGTTAAGAAACACAGCAACAGTTGTTGTATTTAGATTTTAAGCCTTAGGACAAGGAACTGTTAAACAAATAATATGTAAGCTGCTCAGAAACCTTTTAAGGATGAAGAGTATGTTATAAATATTCAAATCAATCAAGCAATCAATCAATCAGACTTATGCTTTTTAATCACAATTATCCTAAGTAAGTAAGTAAGTAAGTAAGTAAATAAGGAAGGAAGGAAGGAAGGAAGGAAGGAAGATGTTTCCAGCAAACCTCACAACCTCTGAAGATGCTTGCCACAGATGCAGGCAAAACATCAGGAGAGAATGCTTCTAGAACATGGCCATACAGCCTGAAAAACCTACAACAACCCAAAGATGTTCTTGTTTTCTGAGGAAGCACATGCTTGTATCCAGAAGACTAAAGGGCCAGGTAGGATTGGCCCTTCCATAATATACAGTTGTGATGCTATGATACCATTTGAACTACTATGGTGCTTCCTATGGAATCTTGGGGTAGGTAGTTTGGCGAGACACCAAAACCCTGTGGTTAGGAATTCTATATCCCCCTTCCTAAGTTTAACATATTAGGGTTTCACAGGGTGGAGCTATTAACGAAATACAGTTGGCGCTCCATACCCAAAAATTCAATCATTCACTGCTTGAAAATAATAACACAAAAATTCAAAACAAAAATGTAAAACACCATATCTTGATTTTATCACTTTCTATGACATTGTGTAAAATGAAGATCTACAAAATTTGGAATCTACAAGGGGTCCTGGAACTTATTT